ACAATCGCCAATCAAAATCTCCAGAAATTCACAACAAAAAAATACATCAGAATAGTAGCTGTACAGAATTCAGATAATCATCAGAACAAATATCGAACAGAAATCAATTAGCCGGTATAGAAAACTGAATTCATATTACATAGCAGAACATTCAAATCAGATTTCACAGAACAAACAGAATCGTACGGAACAGATTTCGGATCAGATAAAATCACATTTCAAGATCAGATCACATATCACATAACACTTATCAGATTCCCGGACCATGACAGAATCTCAACGGATTCTGCTATCTTATGCCTCCCTTCCCTGAGTACAGAATTCAGATAATCATACAGAACAAATATCGAACAGAAATCAATTAGCCGGTATAGAAAACTGAATTCATATTACATAGCAGAACATTCAAATCAGATTTCACAGAACAAACAGAATCGTACGGAACAGATTTCGGATCAGATAAAATCACATTTCAAGATCAGATCACATATCACATAACACATATCAGATTCCCGGACCATGACAGAATCTCAACGGATTCTGGCCCCTTATGCCTCCCTTCCCTGACACAGACAGAATCTCAATGGATTTCTGACCCCTTATTCCTCCCTTTGTGCTTATAGCACCAAAACAGAACAGATATACAGAATTTTCAGAACATAACTTGTTTTCTTTTCAGATTTCCCTGACACAGACAAAATCTCAAAGGATTCTGGCCCCTTATAAATCTCTTCTGATATCACAACACATCAAAGCATTCTAATCAGAAAATCGGATTACGTTAGAAAAATCGTTAGCGGCATAACGACAATATACGGCATAACGGCAGCATGCTGTTCAGGAGACCGAGTGGAATCTCTGAGGAATGATTGGAGGGGAAATTCATGAAGAGGCTTAAAGAGGACATACGGGCAGAGTTTAGGGTACTGAGGTCTAGGGTTGAGAGAGATGATGGAGCTCGCTTAGAGGGTGGAGGAAAAATATAGGAGGGAGGACAACATAAGCAACATCATGGAAGGGGCCTATAGGAGTACCTCTACAACTCTAGCACCAAGAATCCTTACAGCATCCTTTCAGAGAGAAGCTCTTAGAGAGAAAAGTGGTGGAGTTCACTCAGGTGCAACTTCAGGCGACTCACTTAAGCGGGGGTGCAGGATAAACGAACAAAGGGGTTATGTTTTAGATGTGATGAGAAGTGCACGCTGAGGCATAGGTGTAAGAACCAAACTCTTCAGGTTCTCACCGTCTTTCCTAACTATACTGGGGATCCATGTGAGGGTTGATTTTTTCTCATTGGAGCTGGGGAACACTGATGTCATCCTAGGTATGAGATGGTTGCAGACCTTGGGGGATACTAAGGTGATTTTTTTTTTTGGGTCGGTGGGGGGGGGGGGGGGACTTACAATGGAGCTGATGGTGGAAGGGAGCAGGATGATGATTATGCAGGGTTATTCAAAGCCATGGTGTCTCTAAAAACCATGGTAAGGGCCTTACAGGAGGTGGGAGGAGGATTTGTAGTAGAGCTATAGAGTTTGGAGGGGATCAAAGGGGAGAAGGGGGAGTGGGGGATCCCTCTTTCAGTATAGCCGGTTATGCTGTAGTACAGTGAGGTTTTTCAGCCATCTCAAGAATTGTCATTGCTGCGGGGACAGGAGCACGCCATTACGTTGAGGGAGGGGTATCACCCATCGGTATCAGGCCTTACAATTATCCCCCAAATCCAGAAGGATTAGAATGAGAAGTTGATCCGGGAGATGTTGGAGGTCAAGGTGGATCTTTGGGAGGGGGTATTATTAAACTGGTTCATGAATCGGTCCAGACCGGCTCATGTTTACATCAAGCAGAACAAAGGTTCTGTCCAGCAGCAGGTGAAACTCTTTGGTGGCGCCCGACAAAAATCAAGCACTAATTAAGGATGGGTTTGGGAGAAAAAAATCAAGTAAAGGGTTGTTTAGAGATTAGATGATTGTGTTTTGCTTTAAGTAGATTTTACTCCATAGGGTTAGGGTTATGTTTTGTTTTTCTGAATTAGTTTTCTTGGGCTCTAGCTGTTGGCTAGGGATTGGGAGAGCCAGATCTTCCTCTCGAATTGAAAATTCGTTGTATCTTAATTTTTTTTTTCATCCATCTTTTATTAATTATCATGTTTTCCGGTGTTTTTCCATCAAAATTTTCTCAATTTCTGTTTTTTTTTCTTGCTGAAATTCCAAATTTCAGCCACGTTCTTACATTTTTTCGATTTTTGCAAATCTTTCCTAACATTTTCGTAGCTTTGTAGGATCTAGAAAGATTTTGTTCAATGCATATATTATTGTAGCATTGGGTGTGATAACTTGGAACTTCAAAATCATTGTATAAGAGTGACTAGGGTCTTTGAGGACTTTAAGGGAGATAAAGCCTTTTAAATGTCTTTGAAAATGCCATGAAACCTCTTGATTTGGTTGAACTGATAAAAGTCCAGGTTGTTGGAGTTAGAGAATATTCTATTCCAGTTGAAATATAGAGGTTTCAAAATCTCGATTGATATAGTTGGGTGGTCTTTACCACTCTTTACTGCATTGTGCATTTCTGGGGTTATATGCCCTTATAAAGTGCTTTTAATGGGGTGTCTATCTCGCATTTGGTGTCCTTCGTGGCTTTCAAATACGAATGAACTCCGATATCCTACCACTATATCTCTTGTGTTAGAAAATGCTCCCCAACCACTATTAGGGGAACTTTGTTGGATCTCAGTGTAGTTGTCGTATTAGGGATGATAACCTTGTACTTTTACCCTGGTGTGATAGTGACCAACAATCTTGCCATGAGATATCTCTTAAGGTTTAGAGGTTTTTTTGGTAGTTTAATTAAGCTCCTTGAACCATTGCCCTTAGTTTTTCTCGAAGACTAGTCTATGATGAGGAGAGTTGTGAGGAACTCCTTAAAAAAATAGGCTTATCTTAGATTGTTAGTCCTAGGTGAGAGATTGTGTATGTTTGGGACAATTTTTTGATTGCTATGCTTTTCAAACTGCAACCACACTTTTGTTTGGCTATTGCTTTCTTTATATTTTTTTTTTTTTGCTTTTTTGAAATTTTTCTCGTGTTAAGTTGCGTTTTATAACTAAATCCACTAATGTGTGGAAGTTGTAAGAAAGTTACCGCTCGATTTTTCAAAATAGAACATGTTAGAATACCCACAACAACTTTCTAAGAAGTTATTTTTCTCACAATAACTTCACAACAATCTTTATAAAATGCTACAACCACCCCCAAACATACCATAAGTGAAATTCATTATGCATTTCTTATCTTTCCTTGGTTATTTCACTTAGTGTTACTCGATAACTTCAATTATAGTATAAGTTGTCAAATTAAATACCCATGGGATCAATTATACCTTGGTTGGGATGCAACAGAACTTGCGTGTTTCTTTAATCAAGGGAAATATTTGGCTTTTCTTTAGGCCATTACTACCCTTTTGAGGCAATGAATATCACTCTGCTCAGCAAGTAGCATTCCATTAAGAGACTGTATGTTGAGATGAGATTCTTTCAAAAGTTTATTGAATAATTTTTTCTATATGCATGAAGTCTTGTAGAAATGGTAGTTGGTCAAGCTCTCCTTCAACTACAATCATTTCCAGACATCAAAGTGAATATTCCCTTGGGACAACAAACTAGAAAGTATCAAGCCAACTTTTCCAATAATATGAACGACCATCTTGAAAAATTTTAAACTACTTTTGGCGATGTGGGGCTGCCTTGATGCTTCAACGGATAGTAGAGGGAAAGAGTTGCTTGATTTTAAACCTGCTTGAGACTTTAATGCGAATGTCTATTGCTGGTTGTACTAGATCCGCCCCTTAGCACTGATTTAGTTCATAATGGCAATGCCAAATTATTGCATGTTAGAATATTTTTAGCGGTAGAAAATGGAGTTTATTGTCTCAGCATTGCATGAAAATCTCACATATATATAAATGAACCACAAAGCTCATGTGTTATTGCATGGAAAATTCTGAAAGAAAAAAAAATTCTTAAGGCATAACTCAATTAAAACATTCAACTTTATAGGTTAAAGATTATAAATAACTACCGGTCTCCATAATTAAAGGAGGTGGGATTACAAGGTTTAATTGTAAGGGATGCCAATGATGTAGAGTGTATTGGTGTTTGTTAGGTAGATGGGGGAAAGGTGACGGATGTTGGTGTTGACCAAAGACATATTATGACAAGCATGTTATAGTGGTTATTGGTGTTATTTGATGATGTATGACGAAGAATGAGTGACAATGATTGTTAATGTGTGTCAATGTCGGGTGATAGAAGATGGATGACAGTAGGTGGTAAACGTTGACGTCAATGAGAACAGGTGTTGGTGGATGGGCAATAGAGTACTCCGACGTTGTTTGACTGCAAACAACGGGGGATGAGTGATGATGATTGTCGATGTGGTTCGATGATGGGTGATGGACGTTAGCATTAGTTGTGGTGGACGAGCAGTGATGGACATGGCTTTGGTGGGCGATGGAGGACTAGAAACTATGATGTCAACATGAGTCGATGGTTGTTGATGACAAACAAACGGTTGTGGATGTCACTATTGGTCAGCTGCATATGATAGATGGGGGATGGTGGATGGAGCTCTTGAATTTTCTATGAATATCAGATTTCTTTTTATTGAGAATCTTCTCCTCTAGGTGCATAAACATGATCTATTTATATATTTATAGAGTTTGTTCTGTTCATTTCTATCATAATTTGGGACAGCACATCTAACGGTTTGGAAATGCACCCTTTGATTTTTGATATTTTTGGGTATCTCAATGCCTTAATTAGCTTGAAATTTAGTGATTTGTACTTGTTGGATTTTCTGCAGTGACTTTATTATGTTGCATTGAATTTAAAGCGCTGTGACTGGAAATCAAATTTGATCTTTTGATGTACCTGTGGTGTTAGCAACACTAAAAAAATACTTGGGTATTTGTGATGATTTTTAATACCAAACATGTGTGGGCAGGCGGAGGTGAGAAAAAAAGAGGAACGAGATGCTGCTGAAGCTCTGAAGCGTGAAGAAGAACTTCGAGAAGCAAAGAGGCAGCAGCAGAGGCTGAACTTTCTACTTTCACAAACTGAGCTCTACAGTCATTTTATGCAGAACAAGGCTTCTTCACAATCCACTGAAACTTTACCTGTGGCAGAGGGTGAAGATACAGAAAGGACATCAAGTGCAGATGTTAAATCTGTGGAAGAAGAGGATCCTGAAGAAGCTGAATTCAAGAAGCAAGCTCTAAAAGCAGCACAACATGCTGCTTCACAACAAAGAAAGATAACAAATGAATTTGATAGTGAATGTTTGAAGCTTAGGCAAGCTGTGGAACCTACAGATGTAGCAAATGAATCTTCAATTACTGGATCTTCAAACATGGATCTCCTGCACCCGTAAGATCAAAGAACTCTGTTCATAAATAAGAACTAAGAATGTAAATAGAAGAAAGGGTGAATATATTACTGATTTTTTGCTTGGCACTACCTATTCCAGTCAATGAAAACCCTCATCTTCATGATCCCACGCCACTTAGATTTCTTTGTGGAATTTCACTTTGAATGAACTAAATAGTATATTATTATTTGCAGATCAACAATGCCCATAAAATCTTCTGTGCAGACGCCAGAGCTGTTTAAAGGCACGCTTAAAGAGTATCAATTAAAAGGGTTGCAGTGGCTTGTTAATTGTTACGAGCAGGTAATCTTTTGGGCCAGGAAAAAGTATTGTCACCTTGCTAACGAGATTCTGAAGAATATGAGCTTTTTTTAATTGACATTTTTCTTTTCTTATATATAAAGGGTTTGAATGGCATCCTTGCTGATGAAATGGGATTAGGAAAGACCATTCAGGCCATGGCATTTTTGGCTCATCTAGCTGAGGTTTGTTGTTTATGTTATTTAAGAGAAATTTTAGTTTTTGTATTGATTATATTTAAAGAACCAACTGGCTTTTCCGTTCAACTAAGCAATAATTCAAATTAAAAAAAAGCAATAATTCAAATTTTTTGTTTTTTATAAGTTCTTATTGCTCTTTATTCTTTCAGATGCATCATTAGCACCATGCCCTATGATTGTATATAATGTTTTTCTTCTATTGTTAAGCTCCAAAGGTATGCCTTCTTGGAAGCCTATCTGCAAATGCTAGGGCCAGGGTGTGTACAACAACCATTCCCAAACCCCGCATTGGTGGGAGCTCCATGGATTGGGTACATGATGTTGGATAGTTTAGGGTTAGGGTTTTTAAATATAACTACAATGCTGCAAAGTATATAAATCACACAAGAGAAGTAAATATTTATAGATCGGAGACCAATATTTATGCAAAAACATACCTTCTTTAGATTGAAATCAACAAATATGAGAATTGGAACTCAAAAAATAATGCACAGATCAAATAGTTTTGAAGAAATTAATGAAAGTTCAAACCACACAAAATCAATTAAGTATTATAATTTATTTACCACAATTAAAATTCCCATTGTGTAAAATTTAGACAAAATCAGAAATATTAACAACCAATAATAAGTTATGTTGAAGAAATTATGCCAAAGAAAGAATTTACCCAATTAAAAATGGCAAGCCTTAAACTAATATTTGGAGACAACTTTTCTCAGAATTAGGTAATCTCATTTTGTCATACTAATGGGAATCACATATCCAACTTACACAGACAAGATAAACAACTGAGGAATTTAAATGAATCAAAGTTATCAATTACATCTCATATCATTTATTTATAAATTACTTGTCCTGGTAGATACACTTGGCACAAGATACGCCTAATTCAATTTCAATAATTATCAAGTTTAACTTAGGTTTTATCCATAATTCATATATGTTGGCCTAAGAAAGTTGTTGATGTGGGAATTAGTAACAATACCTAGAAAATATGGTAAATAACACTTTCAAGAACCAGATATATAACAATTCGATAACTCATAGTAGTTTGCCCCTCGATGCAGATAGTGTGGTGTAGTGGCCCCAAGTTATAGAATTCCCATCCAACCATATTGCATAACAACAATAAAGGAGTAACATTTGCAACAACCTCCATTAGTTATAGCTACAATAATCGATGATAAAGCAACTATTTTCTGACATCAATATTCTTGACTTGAAAAAATATTGCTATAATAAATTGAACTTTTGATATTCATCAAGCAAATCAATGCTTAAAAATCGTGCTTCATGTAAAGTCATACATAAATTATCACAAATAGGTTTGTAATTACACTAAATATTTCTAAAATCCACCCTAAGCTGTGTGCACAGTCTATCTTCAATAACAAGCTGAGTGCAATTATGTGGCAGAGGAATGGATGTAGATTCACTCATTCACTAAGAAGAGATGAAAAGAGAGAATAACCAAAGGAGTTGGCAGTGGGCTCATGAAATAAGACCAAGTTAGACATATTGAATTTAGATTAATTCTATAGTTTTTTTAATTTTTAATTGGTAGGATAATGTACTGCAAGAGATGGCCCTGCTTTTCTTGTATTTAATTTCTTAAAGGTTCCTAGTTATAACATTTTAATGTACCTTGACCTAATGACTAGGTTTAAATTCAATGCATCTTCTGTTAACGTATTCAAAAAGCTTATAATTTTCATATATAGTAGCAAACTTTCAATGAATAACCTTATGGACATCAAGAAAATCATGCAAATGACTGAAATGATATGAAATAAGTAATGAAAAATGTTAAAATTCTATTTTGTGTTTGAAGTTGTACTAATAAATACCTCTATTTAATTCCTAAATGAAGTTATGATGAAGAACTTAAAATAAAATAAGCCATGATTATATGATATGCTTATAATATCGAAAACAGTTTTAAAGGAAATGAAGCCAAATTGTTTAAATATGACTTGTGATGATGAGTTAGACACTTATAGTATTAATTGGGTGCATGGAGTTTTAAATTTCAAATTTCTTTTAAAGAATTCATTTTAATGAACTGTTTGAAATATGATGCAACTTAACTTTCTCTATGAGGTTCCGTTTATAAATTAGGGAACCAAGGAGCCTAGAGCCTAACATGAAATCAAATTTACTTTTCATTCATCATAATAACAATGGAAACAAATAATTCATTATGAATTGTCTTTTCAAGCTTCCCATTTGATTCATCAATTACAGTATTCTTAATAAGTTCAGTTTCACATTCAGGCGTTGATAGAATCTCGCATATAAGTTCAAGTTTATGTGTGTTCTCATGCTCAAATATTGCTTTCAAATTCCAATTCTAACTATTGTGAGTGTGTAGGTTTTAATTGAAATATGATCTATTGTAGACGCCAATTCAAATCTAATAACATCAAATTTAGACTCATTATATAACTGCTAATCATATTTTGCATTTAAAAAATCCTCAAACAAGCATAGGTGAATTGTAACTTCGTCCATGCAATTATATTGAATCACATGTGATGTAGGACTACGTGAGGATGCAATGATTTGGTTTAGAATTTGCACAACTCTTGATTAGAATAAAAGTGAAGAAACTATTAGCAGCTTGAACAACGAAATAAAACGAACAAGGGGTCACGCCCGCTTAGGCTAAATCACATAACCAGATATTTGAAACTTTCAAAATGAAATAAAAAACAACGTTATGCCAGAGTAGTAGTTTCAATAAAAATCTCTAGTCTAACAGTGAGATTAGTAAGCACATAAATACATTCAAAACCCTACGTTTACTAAACTTAGCAGAAGCAAGAGGAATCGTCCTTCGTGACTACAATCAAACACAAGATAAAGTTCGACTCAAGAAGTATGTTGAAAGGGAAAAGCATAACCTTTTGTCAAGGATCGGTAGAGATCCTCCACTCGCCTTCAAACTGCTCTTCGATTGCTTCCACCAAAGTATCCAAAATGTGCTCGATGTAATCCTCAACAGTGTGATCGACCCTTGTATCAACGTCAAAGAAAGTGGATTGGAGAATGTCTATGAAATCGTCCTCGTCGTAGGTTAGGCCGTATTCAGTTTTCGGATCGGCCATGCATGGATGCTTGATGACTGAAGTCTTCCCAAGGCTGCTAATGCTCTTGAAGATCGCGGACGAGAAAGAAGTTTCTCGAGAAATTATGGTGGGGGCAGGAGGCCGGCCAAGGGAGAAAAGGTTTAAACGGTTTTGCTTTGGACCTGAGAGGGAGAAGAAATATAACCTGAAAATAATTTCAGATTTTGGTGAAGAGAATTGCTTATTCCCTCCTTTAATTAATTCCCTTGGGTTGGCAATAATTAAAGAGAAGGAAGAGGGGGATTTGGAAATTAATTCTGAATAGGAGAGGATATTAATTGAATAGGGGCAAGGGGATTTCGGCCAAAGAGGGATGAGAGGATTTTGATTTGTTTCCAATAGAGGTGGGGGGGGGCGAGGGGGGGGGGGGGGGGGGGAATTAGGAAGCAGTTCCTAATTTAAATCCATGATAGGGGGCAGACGGCTATAGAGGGAGGGGAGCAATTAATGAGAGCAATTATGGCTTCTTAATTGAGGTTTTGGGAATTAGGAAAATTTTATTTTAAATACAATTGAATTTAAAATTCAAAATAGACTTAGAGTAAATACTTTCCTAAAATTGAGGAGTTAAATTATGAAAGATTTTGAATTCAAATTCAAATGATTTTGAATTTGAAAATTATCCTAAATTAATCCTCAACCCAATTAGGAAACTCAAGGGAGAAGGGGAGTGGGGGATGGCCGGCGGCTATGGAGCTAGGGCCGGCAACAAGGAGGGGATTTCGGGTAAGGTGGCTGGTGGCTTGTGGGGAAAAAATTGTGGAGCTCGGTTAGGAGGAGGTGACGGCTTGGATATGAAGGTGGTTTGGATGCAAGGGTGTCCGGGAGCGGAGGTGGAAGGGGAAGGACAAAGAGATAAAGAAGAAAATCACGAACTCGGCCTTCTCCAAGGTTGGTGGGTGATCCGATCTACCTCTCCTAGGGATTTCTCTCCAATCACACTCTCAAGCTCTCACAAGAACTCAATGCACGGAAGAAATTTTAATTAATCATTCATTCATTTATTACCTCAAGAAAATAATACAAGGGGCTATAAATTTCCTAGTACATGAGTCTCAAGAAATAAAAGATGAAAATGCCCTCGGGGCTTACATACAACATCCCTCACTAAAAGGGTACAACTGAAAATCTCATAAAACAAATCCACGACACTGAAAATAAGAAAATACATAAAGAAGAAGAAACATAAATAAATAAAAAATACAATGACTCGATCGTGGCCGTAGATCGATGACTACGCCTCTGATAAACCTTCCATGCTCTGATGTCCCCATCAACATGATTTTTGCATTACTTTCTTTTTCTATTGGCTTCAGATGAAGTCTTATTGAGTTTTCTTATAGCATTGACACATGTGCGACAACCCTAATAAAATGCTCATAACATGCCTCAATATTCAAATATCTTGATAAAGCTTTAAATTGTGTTTTCGGTGAATTTTAGCTTATTTTATTACTAAAATATTGCTAAAACTTTTAATGAATAGCATAGTAATGACAAAATAGTCTAAAAGCAATTCCAGACGTGCAAGCCTTGCATAATATTCAAGTAGAATATAATCTTTTTGCTTACAACTCTAAAATTGATATGCTACTTATCCAATATTCACCAAATGGTTGATATTTTCCTTTAAATTGTTAATATTTTTGTTTCACCAACTTATAACTTTTTTTTAATCAAATAAATGATAACTTGTCAAAAAATTTCTTTCAAATTATCATTCTACCTTGATAATTCCCCAAGATTGTACCTCGCATTAGATGTAGGGTTGTGATTTTGAACCTCATGATATTTCTATTATGATGTTTTTTATTTTGTTAGCTTGAACCTCACACGTTTTCTATCTCATTAAAATTGCATCATATGCTATACTTTTGAGTTGACAAATAGATGTAGTCATAAGCTTTATTACCAATTTGATGCATGAAAATCTTGGGCTTGGGTTTTGTAATGCAATTAGAAAGATGGAAAGTATGTAGACATAGCAAATGAACCAAGGTTCACATACCAATGGCCCCTCTAAATACAAAAAAGCTTGATTTATTTGTGTCTGAACTAGAAAATCTGAGAATTAGAACCCAAACGATAGTAAACAACAACAACATCATGCATTTATCCCATTGTGGGGTTGGCTACATGAATCCTTTTTCTTCATTGTGTCTTGTTAAGAGTCAATTTTCATTCAAATCTAATAAAGAATGACCATTTCTAATATTTTCTAACCATGTCTTTAGGTCTACCTCTACCTTTCTTAACATAAGTCAAATCTAATACATTTACTCTCCTAATTGGGCATCAGAAGGCCCCCATTTTATGTGAACAAGCCATCTAAGGCAATCTCTAATCTTATTTTCCACTGGAGCTACTCCAACCTTTTCATGTATATGCTCATTTCGTGTCTTGTCTCTAAGAGTAAAACCACTCATCCACCTGAGCATCCTCATCTTTGCAACATTTAACTTAATATTATGCTTATCTTTTAATGGACCACATTCTGCACCATAAAGCATTGCAGGTCTCACCACCATCTTATAGAATTTTCCCTTAAGTTTGAGGGGGACTTTTCTATCACACAACAAGCCCGATGCATTCATCCACTTCAACCATCCAACTTGAATTATACTAATAATATCCTCATCTATTTCACCATCACTCTGAACAATAAACTAAATATATCTAAAACGTGTACTCTTATTAATGACTTGATCGCCTAAAGTCACAATCCTCCCACTAGATCTATTATTACTAAAATTACACTCTATATATTCAGTTTTAGATCTATTCAAACTAAAGTGTTTATACTCTAAGGTTGACGCCCATAATTCAAGTTTACCTTCAACTCCCTCTCTAATCTTATCAACAAGAAGAATATCATCAGCAAAAAGCATACATCAGGGTACAACCTCTTGCAAATGTCTAGTGAGAACATACATGATCAAAGCAAAAAGATATGGGCTTAAGTCTTATCCTTGATGTAATCCAACTAAAATAAGAAAATACATGGTCAAATCATCTTGTGTTTGAACACAGCTCATGCATATATATTACTAATGACTATAATATAAGCATTATTGACACTTTTTTTTTCTATAACTCTCCATATTACTTCTCTTGAAATTTTATCATATGTTTTCTCTAAATTAATAAATATCATTTGTAGATCCTCCTTATTCTCCATCAAACCTCTTAATAAATGTATAGCTTCTATAGTAGAGCTATCCGGCATGAATCCAAATTGATTTTGAGAAACATTAGTATCACATAAACTAGCTCCATAAATCTCTCCCAAATGATAATAAAATGATAAATATATTCGAATGCATCAATGAGAAATTAGAACAACAAAAAATCAACAAGAAATTACAGTTTATTTGCCGCATTTATAATTTCTGTTGTGTTAAATTTAAACAAAATCATAAGCACTAGCGAAGCCAATAACACGGTAGGCAGAAGAAATTAAGTCAATGAAAGAATTTACCAAAATAAGTAATATGGACCTCACGCTAGTTCAAGTAGATGGCTCTTCTGGGTGTCAATTAGTCACTTGCACCATACTCGAATAAATCACGCATCAAACTTGTAGACATAAGATCAAAATTTTGAAGAAGAAATTCTATTTAATCAAAGTTATTAATTAAATGCCTCATATTTCTCATTCCTATTCTAATTTATATGGTTGGCAAAAGATGAATTCTCTTTAATTTCAAAGAATTATCAAATCGAACTTTTAAATACCCCAAGCAGAAGTTAAGGCGCAGAAGAAAAATGAAGCTACGGATGTTGGAGTAAGTAACAGCCCCGGAAAAGATGATATGATAGCACCGGAAAAAACTGAGGTGTAACGACAGACAACCCTTAGATGTAGTTTGCCCGTAGAAGCATTGAGTGTTGTGGCTGGCCATAAGTATAGAGGAATTCCCAAGCGAATGGAAGGCATATCAATGACAGGAAAAATTATTCTGTGCAGAGTCCATATCCCAATGAAAATGGGCCACGTCCGGTACCGAGCTAATACTGAGCGGTACTCAGTAACTAGACGGTTCTCCCGTCCAATGTACGTACAAAATAATCTCTCAAATGACAGAGACTTAACAGTGAGGACAACCTCCAAAAATAGCAGAATTGAATTGTAACGGAAGCTGCAAAAATTGGCAGGCATAACTAACAGTGGTGGAACTGTAGCTACAGAGATGAAGACTACATAAGATTTTAGGGTGTATCATAATTATTTTTCTTAATTCCATGCAGGAGAAAAATATATGGGGCCCTTTTTTGGTTATTGCACCTGCATCCGTCCTAAATAATTGGGCTGATGAAGTCAATCGTTTCTGTCCTGATTTAAAGACGCTTCCATACTGGGGTGCACTTCCTGAAAGGATGGTTCTTAGGAAAAATATTAACCCAAAGCGCCTGTATAGAAGGTACGTTAATATTCCTCTTTTTTTCCCCAAAATGGTAAATTTCCTGAGAAAATCCTGTGTTTGAATTCTTTTATCGCATTGAATAATTTTTTTTTTTCATTCTTAGGGAAGCTGGATTTCACATACTGATTACGAGTTATCAGCTGCTCGTGACTGATGAGAAGTATTTGCGTCGAGTGAAGTGGCAGTATATGGTTTTAGATGAAGCACAAGCCATAAAGAGTTCAAATAGGTTTGCTGACCTGCATTTCTTTGTGTGTTTTGTCTTGACGTTTCTTTCATATGTAACATGAATATTGTCTGTAATCTGGTTAATCATTGTCATTGGTAAAAGTGGCGCTAGGTTGATTAGATTTAGGCTTAATTTGAGACAGCTTTCTTACTATTTTCTAAAATGACTTTTTAGTACAAAGATTTCTAATTTAAGAAATTTTTTACTAGAAAGCCGTTTTAGAAAGCAACAAAAAAATTGTGCCAAACAAAGCCTTACTCATGGTTTAGGAGATTGTTTTACCTGATGCATTTCTGCTTTATTGATTCATCTGTGCAGCATACGTTGGAAGACATTGCTCAGCTTCAACTGTAGAAATCGCTTGCTTTTGACTGGAACCCCCATACAAAATAACATGGCAGAATTATGGGCCCTTCTTCATTTCATCATGCCAACACTGTTCGATAGTCACGAGCAATTTAATGAATGGTTTTCTAAGGGGTATTGCTTCTTACTTGTATCTATTTTTTTGTGGCAAATATTGTATTTTTCTTATGCTCTTGTTAACTTTGGCAGCATTGAGAGCCACGCAGAGCATGGAGGTACTCTAAATGAGCATCAGCTTAACAGACTGGTATTGTTTATTTTTTTGTTGATTTTGATAGCGTTATTTTGAGTAAATGGCATAGAAAATACTTGTTTAGGATGGAGTTAACACCACATGCACTAATTAGAACGGAGAAGGGTTAATAAAGCAGATCCTAAATTTATTGAAATAAGGCATATGATGATGGCGGTTCTGATTATAATGACAATCATATCAAGGGAAATAATGGAGGATGAAAAGATTTGATGAAGAAGAAAATGAACTAGTTGCAGTTTTTGAATCTTATGCTTTTAGTTTTCCTGATTATGAACCTGCTGGAGCTTATCTGAAACTGTTCGTTGTTTATGATCTTTTTAAAGAAGACACTACAAATCAAGCTAGAAAGATATTGCATACGTTATTTACAAATTTAGCCTTATTTTTCTAAATTTTCTGGTTCTTTTGCGAGTTAGATTGATAATGATGTGTCATTTATTCAACTCTTCATGAAACTGCAATTTTTATTTTACTTTTTGACAGCATGCTGTCCTCAAGCCATTCATGTTGCGGAGAGTTAAGAAAGACGTCATATCAGAAATGACTTTGAAGAAGGAAATTACGGTGCATTGTAAACTAAGTTCACGACAACAAGCTTTCTATCAGGCTATAAAGAACAAAATTTCATTATCTGAGCTTCTAGATGGGCATCGTGGGCATCTAAATGATAAAAAAATTGTTAACTTGATGAATATTGTTATTCAATTACGAAAGGTACTTTTTATTTCTTCGACAAAATGTTTGTATTTTGGTGCATTCTAAGAATCAGGCTATGACATTGTGTATTGCTTTTGCTGTTGTTTCTTTTGCTTTATCTGTCCAGTGTCAAGTTGAAATTGAGAAGCTTCAACGATTTGCACTTTTCTGTTCTATAACCTGCTTTTTTATTTTTTAGAGTTCAGATGATTCTGACTTATGAAACTTTCGCTTCCTGTTAAATGACAGGTGTGCAACCATCCAGAGTTATTTGAACGAAATGAGGGTAGCTCATACTTGCATTTCGCAGATATTCCCAACTCTCTGCTTCCTCCTTCCTTCGGGGAATTAGAGGACGTTTGGTACTCTGGAGATTGTAATCCTATATCATACAAGGTACTTTTTAACTCTTTAATTGATCTCTTATTGTGCGCTTTTGACCTTTTATTGCTTTCCTTTTCTTTCATTACATGACCTCTTTGGTGAATTCATATTTTCAGGTTCCAAAGCTTCTATATCGAGAATTTGTTAGAAGTGCTGGAACGCCTTTTCCTGTCTCTGGTCTTCCACCTAAGGAATCTCTAGAGAGGCTTTTTAATATATTTTCACCCCAAAATATTCACCAGTCAACTTTTTCAAACTGTACAGATATTTCTTCAAGAAGTTCTGGAACCTTCGGTTTTACCCGTCTGATAAATCTTTCTCCCTCAGTGGTCTCATTTCTAGCAAGTTGCTCTTTACTTGAGAGGTTATTTTTTTCTGTAATGTGTTGGGATAGACCATTTATAGATGACATACTGGACATTTTTATGAATTTGGAGGGCAATGACCTTGAATATGATAAATTGGAGAAAGGGAAAGTAAGAGCTGTTACACGAATGCTGTTGTTACCAACAAACTCTGAGGCTAGATTGCTCAGGAGAAGATATGCAACAGGTCCTGGAGAAGCTCCATTTGAACCTTTAGTTGTTTCTCATCAGGAAAGGTTAACATCAAACATCAGGCTCTTGCGTTCATCCTATGCATTTATTCCTCGAGCAAGAGCTCCTCTGGTATGCTTTGAAATAAAAGAAAACTAGTCTCCTTTTTCATGAAGATCATAGTGCCTTAGAAATTCTAGCAACCTATTGTTGCCTTCGTGTATTACATCTTACTCTCATCTTATTTGTTCTCTTCACAGATAAATGCTTATTGCCCTGAAAGAAACTTTGCATATCAAACGGTCGAAGCATTGCACCACCCTTGGGCAAAGCGGCTATTTGTTGGGTTTGCTCGTACATCTGAGTTTAATGGCCCTAGAAGGCCCATCAATCCTCATCACTTGATAGAAGAGATTGACACTAAAGAATTTTCTTTCAAACCTGTTCTTGAGCTATCACATAGAATCTTTGGTTCTAGTCCTCCCATGCAGAGTTTCGACCCAGCTAAAATGCTTACGGTAACAGAAACACACCCTCTCGAGTATTTTTTTTAAAAGTGTATGTTTGGTGTGATGCACTTGCACCACATTTGCTAGTTATCTGAAGAATGGAGAACATCATTGGCATGTAAAGCCTTCCTCGTGGTAATGGCCATGTTGTGCTGGTTCTTTCCCTGAAACCATGTGGAGTAGCATGTCGCTGTGGTGTATTAACATAATATTATACTTCTGTTCCAGAGAAGATGAAGATTTTTAACTCAGTTAACTAAAATTCTTTTTATCATAGGATTCTGGTAAACTTCAAACATTGGATATACTACTGAAGCGCCTTCGTGCTGAAAATCATCGCGTGCTTCTATTCGCTCAGATGACAAAAATGTTGAATATTCTCGAGGTATTTCCATTCTTTTGTGCTTGTTGCTACTTTGTTACCTTCTAGAATACAATACTCAACGGTCTTCAAATTTGAAAATGTAAAACATTTTCATGTTAGAGTAATGTTTGTATGCCTGTGTGCTGAAGATGGTTGATGGATTAGGATTGCATTACGCAAGAGTCATCCATGTCATACTACTACCTTATCACTCCCATGGCTCTTATGATTCTATATTCTAGCTTAGTATAAATCCATTTCCAATATGCAAGATGATTCACCTTGTTACTCTCATGACTCCCATGCTTCTATATTCTAGTTTAGGTATTATTACCTCTTCAAAAGCTTCAATAAAAACTGTTCCTAGAATCCTTCCACTCTAATTTTTTCATGATTGATTTAGTTGATCACATGGTCTAAGGGCTTGTTAATTGTGCTGTAGGATTATATGAATTACAGAAAGTACAAGTATTTTAGACTTGATGGATCATCCACCATCATGGACCGTCGTGACATGGTCAGAGACTTCCAACGCAGGTCTGCAAATCCTTGTCTGAATTGCACTTCTTTAATGTTCTTTTGACAATGCTTAGCATGTTTTTGCCCCTTATTCAAATTATTAGTTAATATATTCCCTGAACTTTTTGCAATTTGACAATTTTGTTGCATGTTGCAGGAATGACATTTTTGTTTTCTTGCTGAGTACAAGAGCTGGAGGGTTGGGAATAAATCTGACCGCTGCTGATACCGTCATTTTTTATGAAAGCGATTGGAACCCAACTTTAGATCTACAAGCGATGGATAGGGCGCATCGTTTAGGTCAAACTAAGGAGGTAAGCAAATACAAAATTGAACTTGGTCACCTGCCATTTTCTGCTGTGGATTAATTAATAGAATGGTGTGATAACAGTTTATGTAGAATATTAGCTGTTATGTGTGCTTCTTTTTCTTTTGAATCATTCATGTCTTTCCTCTTTATTTAAGGTAACCGTGTACCGGTTGATTTGCAAAGAGACCGTTGAAGAAAAGATTTTGCAAAGAGCAAGCCAGAAGAACACTGTACAGCAGTTGGTCATGACAGGTGGCCATGTTCAAGGTGATCTATTGAAGCCTGAAGATGTAGTTTCCTTGTTACTTGATGATTCCCAGTTGGAGCAGAAACTCAGAGAAATACCACCACAGGTTGATTGTCTTCATTCTCCTCTTGAGTATTGATTACTAGTACATTTAGTTGCCTATTCATATCAGGAAAACGAGAAAGGAATCTACAGAACATTGACCATGCTGTAACTGATCATTCAAGGAAATAGCTTTTGACACTATTGACTTTAGGGTCCGTTTGTGGTAATTTCAGTTGCATGTCAGTGCACTGACCGCAGTAGGTATTATAGCTATTTTATTGCAACTATCACATTAATGGGTCTGGTTGTAAAACCTCTTTCTCACCATGAAACATTTGTGAAAAAGTATTAAGAAAATTATAGTCAAATAGTTGTATAACAGCTGCTAAAAGATAAAATCATATAAAAACTGTTCCAATTGGGAGAAATTATTCCGTGCGGAGTCTGGACGGTAAAGAACCGTCTGGATGTGAGTGTACACAGTGTAAAAAAAAACCGAACTGTGTGCAAAATTATACTCAGTGTGCACACTGTGTATAGTCACATCCGGACGGTTCTTTACCATCCGGATTCCACATGGAATAATTGCATCCAATTGGACCCTTAACTCAATTGATGACTCTTGCTGATGCTGGTTCCTCTCTTCTGGAAATTGGCCTATACCATTAGAACTGAACCATGCTATGTTTCTAATCAGAACCGCTGGATTCAAGTGAAAGTTGCTGTTTCTTATTAGTATTTTCGCAGATTAAGGATCGGCAGAAAAAGAAGAGAGGAAACAAAGGAATACGAGTGGATGCTGATGGATTGGTATCTTTGGAAGAACTTGAAAAAGCTGAATTGCGAGTTGCAGAAGATGAATCTGCTCAGCAGCAGAGTGGAAAATCCAGTAACAAAAAGGTATCTACCCTTTTTTTGTTTAGCAACAAAACGTCAACCTGTCTTTATTTTCTCTAAACCCCTTATTTTTTCAACAGAGGAAACGAGGTTCTGATAAGAAAAACTCTGCAAAATCTCAGAATCCTCAGGAGTCTTCCACCCTTGCAAATTCACCTATGGAGGCAGATGAAGCCAATCCCCTGGCTTTGGAGGAGAAGCCATCCAGACCAAAGAGAGCAAAGAAAAATGTCAACAGAAACCTTGAGCCATCACCTTCTTCTGCCTCAGGATCAGTCACTGTGAACTCTTCTGACCACACTCGCGCCATTGATGAAGCCATAGCTCAGGAAGCCATGGGATTACAATCTGGCAACACAATAGAACACTATTGATAACATAAAAAATGAGCATTTTAGATGATTTCCGAAACGACTGAGAGAACCAGGCCTCGAAGCCATGAGCACAGATGAATAAAGTTGTGCTCGCGAGGAATTCTTTGATTTCAGCTGAGTTTCTTCAGATTTGGCATCACCAGCTGCATTGAAAATTGATGTACAGAGTGCTTAAAATCAATGGAATCCTGCAGAGATGTGCGCTTTCCCTGTTGGCATTTTGTGGGTATCTGGAAGATGTTGCGTTGTATATTTAAAATTTTGTCTACACTTTGAGAGTCGTTGTTGTACAGCTGAGTCTAACGGATCTTTCTTTTTTTTTTTTTGACTTAAAGTAGAGTGCACGCTGCACTTTACTTGTTGGGAAAAATGAAAAGAACTTTCTATATGGTGTAATTATTTATCTGTAATTCTTTACTTGTGCGTGCGTTATGGTCTACACTAATACCTGAACAAGTTATTAGTATTCTTCTATCCACAGCTTTTCATTATACTCAGTTTGATTGCTTGAACGAGAAGTTGCCCTTATTTTTTTTTCCTATGGGGAGAACTAATGATTAGTGTTTGAAAAAAAGCCAAACAAATAATGCCAACAAAAACTCTTAATTTTTCTATGCGCAATTGTAGCTCTATATCCACGACAGTATTACAGCAGCAAGTCCTTACTAACAAAGTATGTAGAAAAAAAACATATATTTCCTATTATGTATAGTTTTATTATGTATAATTATGCTATATTTACTCTAATTTTTCAATTAGATTAGTTATATTAGTGAGTAATTTTAGCTTGATGGTGATTCTGATTTGCTAAGTCATTTTGTAATGAAGAACTGTTGGTATTCTTTTTTTTTTTTTTTCTAGTATGTGTTTCTAATAAAACTGTTTGAAAACATATAAGAACTGTATAATGGAAAAGCAAAAGAAAGGAAAAAAAGAGAGTAAATTAAACTGAAATTCAATCATAGGAGTAACTGGAGTTCATTCATGTCAATTGAGGGATTGGCTGTTGTAAGTACTTTTGTGAGGTTATTTATCTATTTGTTGTGATTATTAGCCATTATAAGCACTTCAATCTAATCAAATATAGGTTTTGTTTGGAATAATTTTTTGTTGCTTTTAAAAAAATTTATATTAGAAAGCTGTTTTAAAAAGTAATAAGAAAATTATCTCAAATGAAGCCTTATTTGATTTGGGATAATTTTTACCACTATTTTTTCACAACTTTAAATTTTTTGTGTGCTAAACAACTGCTTTAAAAAATAGTAAGAAAATTATATGAAGCCTTAGTTCAAAGCTTCCACTTCACATTTGTTGCGTCCTAGAATATTTGCAGCTGTAGAGAAAGATAAAGTTTAACGTCCAAGCTTTATACAAAAATCCAGCACACAAATATGAAGAAAAGATGGTTGCATCAATCACAAGAGACACCGTAATTTTTAACTGGAAACCCCCTGAATAAGAGAAAAACTACGGGGCCTAGCCTAGTTTGAATGAATCCACTAATGTTTGCAATTGATTACAAATGAGGCCCTTCCCAAGAAGGAAGGTCTTGGCTCGATGTAACAAATATACATCATACATAATGCATTATATGTTGGGAGTTAGAAAAATCAGTGTTGATATGTTCGTTTGGGTGGTAGGATCATAGTCGGCAAGCGATGTAGGTCGAAAGGACAATAATCGGATGGTAGTGATCGGAAGGACCGTAGTCGGGCGACGGAGGTCAGGATGGCCTTTGTTGGGCAGTGGTGGTAGGAAAGACTGTAGTAAGTGGGCGACGGTGGTCAAAAGGATTGTAGTTGACAATGTTGGTCGGAGAGGTCATAATTGATGATGATCGATGGCCGGGTAGGAGTCCAGCAAATTCCTGTGATTGGGTAAAAGTTCAGCAATGGTCAAGAAGAACTCTAGAGGTGGTTGACAAACAAGCAGAAGTCTGATGGTGGTTGGCGGACTGGCGGTCATAATTTGTATGATATTCCAATTTATGCGTTGAATCCTCCAAATATACTTTGGACCCTTGATTTGGGCTTATTTGAGCTCAGATTTTATTGATTTTGCTGTCGTTGGGTTCATCTTTTCAAGAAGTTCAATCGACCATAAGTTTGTTGAAATCGGAGTTTGGATGATCTCAAATTTAATTTTAAAAACTTTCAACTCAATTTTGTCTGAAGATTCATGTCTAATTAAGATGAATTTTTGATGATATATCAAAATTAACAGATAATTCTATCTCTTATTCTATTGAACAAGTTGAACTGTGTTGGTCAATATTCAATGCAATAAAATCATTCCTGCTTCAAATATGATAATTTTTGCTTGAATATATTCATATTATATATTTATAATTTATTATTCATTATTTCAAAATTATAAATTATTTTTCCAAAAAAATGTAATATTTTTATCACATAAATTAATTGTCATCTAAAATAAAATTCTAATGTCATTGTCTTATGTTCCAATGAAGCCAAGCCCACTAGTTTTTTTTTATCTCTTATTCTATTGAACAAGTTGAACTGTGTTGGTCAATATTCAATGCAATAAAATCATTCCTGCTTCAAATATGATAATTTTTGCTTGAATATATTCATATTATATATTTATAATTTATTATTCATTATTTCAAAATTATAAATTATTTTTCCAAAAAAATGTAATATTTTTATCACATAAATTAATTGTCATCTAAAATAAAATTCTAATGTCATTGTCTTATGTTCCAATGAAGCCAAACCCACTAGTTTTTTTTAAACGAGACAGCTGTACGACATGGTTGGACATCGACTTTTGGTTAGTTAATCCAGAACAGCCAAACGCGTCGCCTGCACCCGATCGAGGGTTCTGCACAGCTGCGGCAGCGCTCCATCTCGTCGCTTTCATCTCTCGCAGCCATTTCTTCGTCTACCGCTCTCCACGAGAGATCCTGGTCTAAAACCCTAGTCAGTTCCAACTGATTCTCGCTAACAGTTGAAGGGGTTAGTCCACGAAGGGCATCTGATCTGTAAAAGAACTTTGGGAGGAAATTTCAGCTCTGCATTAATCAGTCATGGTTACTTCGAGGGCCGGCTCTACTACATCCCTTCCTCACATTCTTACTATTGAGGATTTTAAGGTAATTTCTATTTGCGATTGTTTTTTGCCGTCAATTCCTGGTTCTGGTTGATTTCCGTATTTTTGTCTGTTCAGGGTGATTTCTCATTCGATGCATTGTTTGGAAACTTGGTGAATGAGCTGCTACCGTCTTTCCAAGACGAGGACGCGGATTTAATTGACGGCGCAACCGGGCATGATGGCCTGCCCAATGGCCACATGAGGGTGCCGTCCGACACCGTGAAATTGGATCAAGAACCTCTTTTTCCGGAAGTTGACGCACTTCGTGCTTTGTTTAGGGATTCTTTCAAGGAGCTTGTCGATCTTAAACGACAGGTACCCAGCAAGAACTGGAAATTTCGTACAATATTGATTGATCTTTACTTTTATGATTTGTGAAAATTTACTGGTCATCTAGCATTTGCTTATGCTTGCCTGCATCTCCTTTATCTTGAAGATTGATGGCAGGCTTCAGAATTTGAAGCAGGAGGTGGCCATCCAAGATTCCAAGCACCGGAAGACTCTCTCAGAGGTCAGCTTTGTTTTTGTTTTGGCTTCTCAAATAATTAGATGAAAAGAAAACTGCATACTTTGACTCTCTGCTCTTTAAGTGAATTTCAGCATTTTACCGCTTTCACTATAGTGTTTAGGCAGCTGATCTCTGATTATGTGCTTTTTTGAGCCTCTTATTATGCTCCTTTTTAGTCTCCACATACTGCTAGTTTGTTGCTTTCGTACGTATACATTGCTTTTTATATCACAGAAGTGTTATGTGCTAATATAAGGAAAAAACAAGGCCTGTTGATCCAATCGATCCAAGATCTCAGGCATCTCTTTTTGAAATATGCATCTTTGTTATTCATTCGAGTTCATGGCTCATGCCATGACAAGCTGTTGTTACAACAGCAGATGCTGCAAGTGAGCTTATTATGCATGTTTATTATTAGCCTTTGGTGCCCTCCCACGTTTGAGTATACCATAAATAATCCATATGTTGCATTTGATTATGTTTCTATTTCTGTTCACAACTTCACATGTCAAAATTCTGAAAAGATTACCTGTTTTGCAAGTGCAAGTATATGGTAAAAAGATCCCATTTTCCAGTGGAAGATGCAAATTATTTCTGTATGCTCAGTAAGTTTAGTGCTTCTCTAATCTAAGACTAAGAAAGTCGTGTATTTGAAGCAGTAAACTGCTCATTTTGATAGAAAGATGAGTATGCAATGATGAAGCATGATTCCTTTTCATTCTCGGTTAATATTTTTTGCTTTTATTTGTGCATGGTTGAGTCTGGCATGATATACAAATAGATTTCCATTCTTGTAAATTTTGAGCACATGCATTTATGGGTTTTATTCTGTGCCATAGATCTATCAAATGCAATATTAGGTTTGCTTCGTAAGTTGAGTTGTTTTCGTTTGTTTCTTACACAGCTAGAAAAAGGCGTCGATGGTTTGTTTGATAGCTTTGCTAGATTGGATTCTAGAATTTCTAGTGTTGGGCAGACTGCTGCAAAAATTGGAGACCATCTCCAGGTAAATTGGCTCTATCAAATTTGGTTTTATAAAGCCATTGTTATTGTTTCATGGTTTCTTTTCCATGATTCATTAGTACAACTTCCGATCGCTACCACTTGTTAAGAAACGCAAAAGTTTAGATTTCTTAATTTTCAGACTGCAGATTCCCAGCGTGAAACAGCCAGTCAAACGATTGATCTCATAAAGGTGACTGATTGATCTCTTCTGGATGCTTTTAGTTTTTATCTATATTTTCTTTTTAAATAGTCATCCTATGCTTTACATAATCTTGCAGTATCTGATGGAGTTCAATAGCAGCCCTGGTGACCTGATGGAACTTTCACCTCTGTTTTCTGATGATAGTCGTGTTGCTGAGGCAGCTTCAGTTGCTCAAAAATTACGTTAGTTCCCTGTTTTACTTTTTTCAGGACTAGCTTATTTATTTTGTAATACTCTCAGGACCCTTAAGCTGTTTTGAAAACAACAATTCTGCAGCATCTATAATAGATCGATTAATTTTGTTGTAATCTTTTATATCTAAAACTCCCAGTACTCACAAACTGTTGGGTTGTATCTATCAAATCATCCTTTTATTCACTTGTCTTGAACAATGCTATTTTGAAATAGTTTAAGATCTTCAACTGTCCCGAAAAACCCAATTCAACATTTATTAAATTCCATTTATGGTTAAGTTCATTCCATAGTAGACCTACCTGCCATGAATCCAAATTGATTTTGAGAAACATTAGTATCACGCCACAACCTATGCTTCATAACTCTCTCCCATAGTTTTAAAGTATGACACATTAACTTAATTCCTCTATAAGTTGCACAATCTTGTGCATCACCTTTATTCTTAAAAGTAGGAATCAACACACATTCTCCACTCATTTGACATCTTTTTAGTTTTCAAAATAATATTAAAAAGTTCTGTAAGCCAAGAAATTCCTTCATCTCTTATGCATTTTTAGATCTCTAATGGAATATAATTGATGCGGGCGAAGCTAGATTTTTTTTAAAATTTTCTTTATGTTTCCTTGCTTCCAAGTTGGCTATATGAGTATTTAATATTTGGGTTGTTTTTTTCTTGATGGGCTTGGCCCATATCTTTCCATGATGGCTGATTGTAGTGTGTTCCCTAGGCAATATTTAGATTCCATTTGCTGGATGTTGGTTTTTCAAGAAAATTTCGGATAGCTATTGGAGTTCTCCAGGCAGATTTCGGTTTCTCCTATGCTAGGAATACCTGCTACTGGTTTCCCATGTTGTTTTGGTTTTCCTTGGGCTTGGTTTCCTGCTGTTGGCCGTTCCCCTTCCCTCCTTGCTGTTTCCTAGAGTAATGTTTGATCTTCTCAAGAATTGGCTTCTATTGGCTGCTTGGGGTGGCACATTTATGTGGGCATTTGGACCTTTTTTTTTCCCCTATTAATAGGGTTGATTTGTTGCTGGAGTTTTGGATGTTGAATGGTGATAATATTTGGACACTATAATTTGCGGGTTATTTAGCTTGCGAGCCATCTTCCTCTACCTCACTTCTTCTATTTCATCTCAGTCTTCTATCTATTCTTCTCTCCATGGTTTTCATTTCTCTTATATCTTTCTTCTAAAATCTTTGATAAGTTGTTTTTATTTTAAGTTGTAGGGTGTCATTGAGTTGTGTTTTTAATTTAAAAATAACATGGTTATATTATTTTATGTTTGTCAATGTTTTGGGAAATAAAGTTATTTTTAGTTTGCAATATTAGTTTGTGTTATATTTGTATTTTTATTTCATCAATAATAAGGTCCAACAGCTTTTCCACACTTGATTTTCTTTAAAGCCTCTCTAACTTCGGTTTTACCTATGATGCACGGACATGGACACGGCGACACGGACACGACACGACACGGACACGGAACACGGCTTTCTTTTAAAATATAGGACACGGGTACGGCGCGGACATGACAATACATTTTTTTATATAATGTATATATATTAATGTAATATCATATTAAAAATGACAAACAATAATAAATGAATGACATGATAACTTGTCTATCTTATAATATAAAAGATTTAGTACAAAATATCTAGTACAACCACAAAAATATAAGCAAATAATCACTTACTACAACAACAAGCATTCAAGCTTCAACTTTTATGATTAGCTTTAGAGGTTTGTTTTTGGCCTTCAATATCATCATCATTGAATATCACTACTTTCAACTCTGATTCAATAAGAGAAAGATTTGTAATTGTGCAAAAAGAGAGGAGATAAAAATACCTTCACTGCCAAAGAGAAATGAAAATGAAAATATTCGATGAATGGGTATTAAATGCAGACGTTGATTTGGTGTTATGGATATGAAATAAGAAATTTAGTTTAAATCTCGCCAAATATAAGAAATTATATTTTTAAAAAATTATAAAATATTTAAGATACGCGTGCATGTCGGACACGCGTGTCCAATTTATTTTTAATATTTTTTTAATCGGACACATTTTCGGCGTGTCCGACACGTGTCGGAGGAGTGTCGTGTCGGACACGGCGTCGGACACTGCACGCCTCTTTGAGGAGAAGTGTCGGTGCATCATAGGGTTTTACTAATACACATGTAAAAATAAAAATCTTTATTTTCATTTAGGATGCTAAGGTCACTAAAATAAATTGCACTCACAATCTTTATTGAAAACTTTAGCAAAATATCTTATCCGTCTTTATTGAATATCCTCTTCTAATAAAAATATTTTTTGATTTTCATCCTTAATACACTTCACTTGAACTAAATTCTTATTACTCTTATATCTTTGTTTGACTAATTTATACATATATATTTCACCCTCCTTAGTTTCTAATCTATTAGATAATTCATTAAAAGCTAAAATCTTTGCATCGCATATTACTTTCTTAGACTCTGTATGAGCCTCCTTATATCTTTCCCAATTATCAGAATTTTTACATTTAAATAAAATTTTATAATAAATCTTATTAGTTTTTATCTTTTCTTGCACATTTTGACTCCACCGCAAATTATTTTTACTATTATGAGCTTTTCTCTTTGATACTCTAAGCACATCTTTTGTATAGAGAGAATAAATAGGATCTACATATGTTATTTATTGATTTAGGGAAAACATATGATAAAGTTCCAAAAGAAGTGCTATGGAGAATTTTAGAAAGAACGGGGTTAATAATGTTTATATTCAAGTCATCAAGGATATGTATGCATGAGATGTTACTTGTGTACAAACACAAGATGATTTGACCAAGTATTTTCCTATTTCAATTGGATTACATCAAGGATCAACCTTAAGCCCCTATCTTTTTTGCTTTAGTCATGGATGTTCTCACTAGACATTTGCAAGAGGTTGTATCCTGTTGTATGCTTTTTGTTGATAAGACTAGAGAGGGACTTGAAGGTAAACTTGATTTATGAAGGCCAACATTAGAGTCTAAAGGCTTTGGTTTGAGTAGATCTAAAATTGAATATATGGAGTGTAATTTTAGTAATAATAGATCTAGTAGGGGGATTGTGACTTTGGGCGATCAAATCGTTAATAAGAATACACGTTTTAGATATCTTGGGTCTAATGTTTAGAGTGATGGTGAAATAGATGAGATATTATTAGTAGAATTCAAGTTGGATGGTTGAAGTGGAGGAATGCATCAAGCTTGTGGTGTGATAGAAAAGTCCTCCTCAAATTTAAGGGAAAATTCTATAAGATGGTGGTAAGTCCTGCAATGTTTTATAGTGCAGAATGTTGACCATTAAAACAGAAACATAATATTAAGTTAAATATTGCAGAGATGAGGATGCTCAAGTGGATGAGTGGTTTTACTCTTTGAGACATGATACAAAATGAGCATATACGTGAAAAGGTTGGAGTAGCTCCAGTGGAAGATAAGATTAGAGAGAGTCGCCTTAGATGGTTTGGTCACATAAAATGGCGGCCTTCTGATGACCCAGTTAGGAAAGTTGATGTATTAGATTTGGCTTTTGTTAAGAAAGGTAGAGGTAGACCTAAAAATACTTGGTTGGAAAATATTAGAAAAGACTTTTCTTTATTAGATTTAAATGAAAATTTGACTCTTAACAGGACACAATGGAGAAAAAAGATTCATCTAGCCGACCCCACATAGTGGGATAAAGGCTTGATGTTTTTGTTGTTGTAAAGTTCTTTGGGTCATGAAACTTGAAGGTCATATTAGAGGTCAAATATTCTTTTAATATTCCATACCATTCTCAAGAAAGAGTCCGAGGCTCTCAGCCATGCTTACTATTTATTTACTTTTGTTCAAGTATAGAAACCAGTAATCAGCATGCAACAAGTCTTTTTCTTAAAATTTACATAGCCATCCACCTTAAGTTTGCAGTCACATACTTATATTTGTTGTAGTGTTATGTTATGCGGTCATTTTTATTGTAAATTATAGATCATAATTTTCAAAACAATTGGATGTTTATCACTCATACAGTTCCAGTTCAATAAGTTATAGATGGGTTTGTTCCAAATGATAAAATTCTTCTATGCTTAGTGACCTATAGTTCTTCTGTACTTCTTATTCCTCCACAAGTTGCTACAGTCAGAGCTCCTGCTGGATACTTATGTTGGGACAAGATCATACAATGCTTAGCGGCTGTGTTGATCAGCAGTTTTCCACACCTACCTTTATAAATCTGTCAAATCTTATTCTTTGGGTTTTTTTTAAGATAATATGGTGTAATTTTCAATCTGCTTATCTTATTTTCTATGAAAGAGATGTTGAATATTAGTAGACAATCTGTACAAACTTCTTTTTCAGCATTCCCACGTAAAAAAGTATTTTCCACATCATATTATTGCATAAACCATCCAAGGTTAGGAACTAGAAAAATTATGACGCAAAATTTATTCATTTTAGCAATAGGAGCAAATGCTTTTTGGTAGTCTACTTTATAGAATTGTGATGTGAAACGTAATGCATGGAAACAAAAACTGCTTGGGAATTTTAATATAAGATTGTTAAAGCTTTGCTAGTTATAGAATTAAAGCTTACCCAAATTAAGTTCTCGGAATTATCAGTCGAAATTAAGTAAGGCATGCGGTTACAACTAGATTAATGGGACAATATCAAATTGACAACATAGAATTAGATAGTAATGTTATGGAGAGCAACAATAATCCACAATTAACAAATATAACTTTTCACCTTGGGTCTCTCACTCACTCTCTTGTTGGTGGCACTTTTAATCGAGGAAGATTGAGAGCAACCGAGCGATGTCACTAGGAGACAAATGGCGCACAAAGTGTAGTCCGTTGGAGTGGGAGCCGATGGCGGGTAGTCCATGGGATGACTAGAGAGCATCCAACGTCTTATCCTTTCTTCCTTGATCATCAAAGACGAAGTCGTGGTTGATGTCGGGATCGGCCGTCTATGGATGTGGAGAACTCTCTTCTTGATCCCTTGAGCCGACCACTTGTTGAAGCAAAAGAGGAGAAGAGGGGGGGGAGGCGGCTATGGTGGGGGCTAAGAGGAAAATGCAGGAAATTTGAAATAAAATTCAAATTTTAGTGGTTTAGGAGAGGGATTTAATTTGAATTTCAAATTAATCCAATGAGGGAGAGAGGGGCAGCAATGGGGAGAAGATTTGGGCTGAATTTGTGGAGCTAGTAAGGTGATTAGGAGAGAGAGAGGTGGCCATTAAGGGGCCGGCCATGTAGGAGGTGAGGTGGCGTTGAGGTTTTGAGTAGGTGGGGACCACTAGTCTTAATTTCAAGATTTTAATAAAATCTGAAATTAAAACTTTGGTTTTTATTTGGGAAGAGATTCCTAAATTAAAGACATTCAATTAGATTGATTTCGAATTTCAAATTCGAAATTTAAAATCCAATTAAATTGAGGGCATGATTTAGGGAAGCAATTTAGGAAACAATTAATGGCTCATAACTATTTGAATTTCAATTTTGAAATCCAAAGGAGGGGCAAGAGGTGGCGGCAGGAAGGGGGGAAGAGAGCCGGCGGGCTGGTGGGCTGGCCGGCAGCTGCTGGCCAGCGGGTTGGGCTGGCCGGTGACTGCTGGCCGGCGGATTGGGGCTGCAGGCCGGCGGCTTGGGCAATCCAGGGAGGGGGCGGCGGCAAGAGCAAAGGAAAGAAGAGAGGGAAAATTTCTAGGGATTCGGCGAGTGAAAACGCAATTTCCCACGAAAAGCTTCAATCCAAATCTCCACAACACGAAGTGCTCAAGAGAACTAAAGAAAAAATGAAAGACAAGAAAAACCTAGAACTCACAAAGAGATCTAGTTCTCCTACGAACTCACTAAGAGATCGAGGAGGGTGAACTCACAAAGAGAACTCAAAAATAAAATTTTCATTTCATCAAAAACTAACTATTACATAAGAAAAGGGCCATTCAAAAACTAACTATTACATAAGAAAAGGGCCATATATAGGCCTCCAAATGACAAAGAAAATAAAAGACTAAAATATTCCTTGGGCTACAATAGCGACCAAATACCCATAATGGCAAAAGCGGAAAAAAACTGAAATTAAAAGAAACTACTACATAAAATGACTCAAAATAAAACTCATGATCGTGGTCGTCGATCTCCGGCGTCTCCTGATCGTACACGTGTCGAAAATGCTGAAGATGTCCTCATCAAATTGAGTATATCATTTTACAATTAGCCTTGCTTTTTGCTGTTCCAAACTTTCATCTGCTTTATATTTAACAAGAAAACACATTTGCATCGTATGTGTTTTTTCACTTTTGAGTTTTGATAGCACAACAATCTCCAAGTTTGATTTTATTTCAAAACAATCATCTCCTCTGTCATGAAATACTTCTAATTCTTATTTTATAATGCCTCAAATAGAATTTGTAGAATTTTATGGCATCTAAGCTAATGTTTATAAGGAACGCTTTATGTGCAAAAGAAAATTTTTGAAAAATGTGGGTGGATTTTGCGGTAAATATGAGAATATGAGATAAATGTTTGGTCATTGTTATGAGAATTAACTGACAACAGTACTAAATCTTTGGCTTGCCATAGACTTAGGGTAGGCTTTGTCCTCCCTGTATAGAGTTTAAGAGATTTAGTGATAGCAGTAATATTATTCTTGCATTTTTGTAGCTAAGATGTAAAGAGAGAATATATTAAGTTCATCAAACTTATCTTCTATTTGGTTCTCCCTTGAAAAGTTCGAATAAATAAACTTTGTTTTTCATCAAAAATGATATTTTTCAGTGAAAGATTGTTGTAGTTAGATGATACAATTGATACCATCCTTAAATGAATGTGAATCTAAAAATGACACGCTAAAGTGCTCAAGAATCATACTTACCCAACGTTGTTTGTGTATATGAACATATGACAATTAAAAATATTTAGAGAAAGTTTTCATTAAAAATTATTTGTTAAAAAAATTTCAGTAGATAGTTCATGGAAATCAATCATTTTTGATTGTATTTTATTAATTAGATATGTAGAGGTTAGAATAACTTCTCCTCAATATTTTTTGGGAAGTCAGATTTTGAAAGAGACGAGTCATGGTGACTCCTAGGAATGTCAATTTATGATCCAACCCGAAAACCCTACCCGAACCTCGACTCGGAAAATTCGGTTTCGGGTCATTTAAAACACTAAGTGACTATACATGAATCGAATGATATAAATGATAAATTAGATTTTTATTAAGAAACCAATGAAGTTTTTCCCATAGTCAAATAAAACCTTTCTAGTTGCCTTATAATAGAAGTTATACCTGTCATTACATCAGTTGCCACTCCTGCCTCCTGTTGTGTTAGTGAAAACATGTGGTGGAATCAATTTGACTCAAAATTTAGTGATTTTAATTTGACTGGAGTTAATTTTGATTTTTAGATGAACTTGAGCTGGTCATGAATTGGAATTATCAATATCGCTCAAGATGAACTCGCCCTAGCTTTGAGATATAGTGCTTGACTCCAAATTTCCTTTGAGATCCAATTAATTGCTACCACTTTAGAACCGGTCCAAACAATATAAAAAGGCCCTAGTTATCCATGCATTTGCACATATACTTTTCCAGATGGGAGTCCATGAATTTATTAAAATTTTCCCAAATGCATAAAAATTCTGGAACTGTATCCCAGTTTTGTCTTTCTTCCCGTATTCATAAATTCAGTGCCAGCAAATCTTAGTTAATTATTTGGGGAGAAATCCTTAATTTGGAGTTATTCATTTAAAAGCCAAATTCTGATAATTATTGAAGTTAAATCAACCCAATACATGGGCTTATTTGGTTGGTTGTAGATATAAAACATGTTTACAAAATAATGACTTTATGTCCCCTGATTTTGTATGTGAAAACTTCATCATTACATTGAGGGGTTTGAGGAGATTAAAATCTATGCTGCTTTCTATATGCATCCAACCAGACGTAGAATCTAGTAGATTTGTTCACTTTTTACATTGCATTTTTCACCTATAAACAACCAAATGGTCCCTAACTTAGTCATTTATGAACTAGTAAGTTTACAAAAATTTAATTTTTAACTAAATTTCAGTCTAGTTGTCCGATAGCTATCACTATTAAATTAATTAATTGTTAATTAGTTAGAATAAGAGGGGAAAATTAGACAAATTGAGAATGACTTATTGTTGAAAGTGATGGCAGTGTCACCTCCTTGGTTTTTCAATGCTAAAGTGGAGCGATCCACACTTGTGGCTGCAATGATGCAACATTGCAACCTGACTTCAAGGCTGCAAAAAATGCAGCAATGCCACTGAGATGCTTGGGTCGAGCTGCTTAGTCATATTTTGATTGTTACCACTATAATCAACTACTTTATATCAGCACGAGTCGGAGAATCTCTTGCATCCACCATCAAGGACTGCAATGTGCGTTGACATTGCTTTTTTAAGTAGACTATCTGTTTATTTTAATGTTGCTAATTTGACATGTTTTTCTTTGATATTGGGATAAAACAATTTTTATTTCATACATTTTGAGGTTTACTTGAAGGAAATACTTCTTTGTATTGACCCTTCTCTGAGAGGCTAAATTGACTTGATTATGTATAGGATCATTTGCTGAAGACGATGTTGGTAGGCATGGTATTAATGTGCCATCTACTGTAGGAGCTACAAATGCAAGCAGAGGTTTAGAAGTAGCTGTTGCAAATCTTCAGGACTATTGTAATGGTCTGTACGTCTGAGTTGCTTCCTATCAGTTTGTTGCAGTTAGTTTTTATCCTGAGTTTTCTTAAGGACTTTTTTTGTAAATTTGTTTTCTGCAGAATTGGAGAATAGGTTGTTGTCACGGTTTGATGCAGCTTCACAGAGGAGAGAATTATCAACCATGGCAGAATGTGCAAAAATTCTATCCCAAGTAGGCTTCTCTATTTAATATGATAATTTTGGGTTAAATTAGGTTAAATAATAGAACAAATAATTGAAGGATGCATGGACGAATCCTACAGATTTTATCTCAGCTTTAAATATATTAATAACCAGTTTGTTGAAATAAATATGGTGCAGTTTTTTTTTTTTGGGAAAGATCTTCAATATTAACATATCTGGAAAGTTGAATTTGACATTTGATTCTATCATGCTTTATCACATTTTATATGTATCTATTGTCCTTTTGGCTTTAAATATAGCATGTTGCTAATTTATTTTTAGAAGCAATGGAACAATATCTTGCTGTCAATGGCGTGGTAGTCTTTAAGAAACATCTATGATCTTCTCAGTCATCCTACTTCATACCATATTTTTCTCAAAATATACTTCAAGTATTGATATCTTCAGTGTAAGTTTATGTGGACTTTTGCCAACGAATAATGTAGATTGGAATGACATCTCTACATGGCTTGACATGGAGACCCCATATGCCAAATTGATGAAAAGTGGTGCAAGATAAAGCTGGAATATGGTCTTTGATCTAATTATAAATAAAAATTAATGGCACTTGTGTCGAGATGTGGATATTAATATGATAAAATAGTCATGCCTGATAGCTATGTTAATTACAAAACTTAGATGCAAAATTTGAGAGTATGATGATGCAGAGAATAAAAGTGAAAGGGAGAGCAAGGTGTATTCTGGATTTATTGCATTAAACTGGAATGGGGTATATCTCATTTGCCTCCAAAATGTGTCTTAGGTATGTGCAGGGATGGATAAGGAACGTTGACCATTTAGTTCAGTGTGTCAGTTGTTTGACATTGACTATACATGCCTTTGGATTTATTATTTGCTTCATATAGTTTTAGGTTAATAGGACTACTGATATACAACGGTTAAGGATATAGGATTTTTAATGCCACCTAGGATGAAATTTACAAATAAAATTCATTATTGATAGACTACTAAAAGTTTTAGTGAGAATTTTGTGGCTTTTAATATAAGGATGACAAACATTACAAAATATAATTTAACAATCACCCAAATTGCAAAATTTAATGAGAAAATAATGACAAACATAAAATTCCATCAATAACTTAGTTCATGATTAAAAAAAAAAAGAAAGGGCACAAATCTTACTTGACAAAATTTAGATTGCATATGCAAAACCAATCACTTAAGGATATAAATTACCCCAAATGGATGAACCCGATTCTATTTTGATATAAGGAGTCTCCCTCCGAAAGTAATTGTTGACAATTGTGAAGCACTTAAAGAGTACACACCAATACGCACATATAAGAGGGGGAAATTGTAATTATATTTCAATATTCAATGCTCAATAATTTTAACATTCCTTAGGATTCTTATTTTAGTGTACAAAGGGCCAAAAATGAGAAACTTATTGGGATCTGTCAAAATCTACTAAAAATAATAGGTTTAAATATATCTTTTTTAATTCAAGCGATTGAAATTCTTTCATAAGTTTCAATTCTTGAATTGCTTAGGTACCATTGGGAAATAGGAAATTATTTACTACAATACATAGAGGTTGCAAGGAGGCAATATGGATCTGAGTGGCTCTAGGATGCTAAGGGGGGCATTGCATGAATAGTGACATAAATAGAGGCGGAAGGCGGAACAATTGGAAGGCTTCAATAGCGGGACATGGAGGCATCAATAGTGGGTAGTAATTAGTTGCAAAGCTACACTTGAGATTGTAGTAGTAGTTGTGATGCAATAGAAAGCAATCATTTTACCAATAAAAACTTCAAATTTACATAGGTTAACCAAAAGTAGTTGAATTGGGCGTAAAGGAACAAAGCCATACCGATTTTTAGCTCTCTTCATAATCATATTTAATTTAGGGGTGTCAAAACGGGTCGACGGGTTGGGTTTGAGTCGAACTTGAGTTGACCCGGGTTTAAACGGGTCAACCCGAACCTGACCCGTTTTTTGCAAACGGGTTAGATATTTCAACGCGGACCCGACCCGCTCGGGTTACCGGGTTGACCCGACCTGACCCGAGGACCCGTTTGATTCAAAAAATGGGTGAGTGCGATGGCAGGCGAGGTGAGGCGGTGCCCAAGGACCCGCTGGCTCCTGGCAGTCGAGGGCCAGGTTGGCCGTTGGCAAGGGTGACGGCGTTTGGCGAGGGCAGCGGCGTTTGGTCCCGAGGCCAGCGTTTCCCGAGGCCGGCGTTTGGAGAGAGCGATGACGTTTGATGAGGAGACAGTGTTCGGTCCAAAGGCGGCGGCAGCGTTCGGTCCAGAGGTGGTGGCATTTGGCGAGGGCGACGACGACGTCATATTCACTATTCAACCGCGTACATGCAGGCGTACAGACGTCGTGCAGACATAACTCTTTTAAACGCTTGTAGGCATGCAACTTCATATTAATTATTCACTATTCCAGAGGCAGCGGGACCAGGCGTAGTCTTGATATTGCCTCTGCCAGGCGTAATCTTGATATTGTTGAAATCAAATCATAAATGAATAGCTTTTTAATGCAAGAACCTTTTTTTTTTTAAATTTGGCAAATGGGTGTAGGAGATTGCTAGAATTTTTATTTTATTTTTGCAAATGGGTTAGTCCAGGTCAATTTCGGGTTAGCAGGTTGACCCGAACCCGACCCATTTTTTCAAACAGGTCAAATTCTGTAACCCGAACCTGACCTATTTGCAAAACGGGTTGACCCTAACCCGAAATTTTCGGGTCGTGTCAAATATTGACACCCCTAATTTAATTAAGATTGTTATTATGTTGAATTATCTACTTTGGATAAGTTTATGTCTGAATTTTAGATAAAGATTGTTTTGATTTTAAGATATGAATAAATTTTTTAAAATTCAAGCATATTTATATAATCTTATATCTATAAACATAGATTTTGATTATTGGTTTTAATTATTATAATAATAATAATTATTTATATTGAATGAATAACAGTATTTGTGACCAACTTAGTGTATTTAGATCCAAGTTTAGCACGCAGATCGCTCCAAACTATTTGTGCAAAGTTTTCATTTTCTTTTTATTCTTCATCGAATTAAATCAGTAGATTCAACGATTTTAGCCCAAAAAATTTAAATTTACATAAGCCAATCAAATTGAGTCAATCTGGGTCATAAAGGAGTTGAACCAAACCAATTTCTAACTCTTTTATTAAACCAAATTTAATTATGGTCGTATTTTCAGTTTTTTTTTTTTAAATTTTATTGTGTTGAATTATCTACTTTAAATAAGTTTAGGTTTTAATTTGAAGATATGAATAGATTTTATTTATAGGTCAGACCTTATATATGTAACCCTATTTCAATAAAATAGGGATTGATGGCAAGTAATTTTGAGTTTTTTTCCTCCCCCTCTAATTTTGATATGAGTCTGAAGATCTTGTCCAACAAATCTCGCATGTTCGATTTGTGTGACTTTCGGCCTGATTCCCATGTCAAATCCTATAAAAAAAGATAAAAAAATCCCATTTCACATCCTTCTTCAGTTGTATGCGACACAACATTTTGACCCATTCTCTTTTTTGATGATGCTTATGTGTTTCTAATGATGAACTAAACCTGAGGGAACTAACTATTTATCAGCACGTGAGATTCCTATTTAGCTTGAGAATGTTGTTCAATGAGGGACAATGCCCCCTTCAAATTCAATTGAGGATTCTGCTTCAATTCGTTTAACATTACATCTGCAGATGTATACTGCTTTGGATGATTATAATTTGCTTCATTACACCTTCCAAAGATTGAAATTGTGTTGTTATTGTCAGCTTTGTCATCTAATATACTCTTGTTATGTATTGTATTGATCTTGTGAGTGTATGAAGTTTGTAGCCACCCATGACATAAACCTCAAAATCTTTTTGTGTCCATTCGACTTGTTGTTGTTGTTTTCTGCATTGTATGAACGCTTCTTCCATTAAATGATCCAAAGATGCCACTCCCTCTACCATGGCCTCCACTAAACAATTGAAGGGAAGAGTTTTTGTTGAGTAGGTGAATTAATTCTGTACAAATCAACTGTTTTAGATTAGAAAAGTTCAAATTTACCTAGCCTAATTAAAAGAAGTTGAAATTGGCTATGAAATAGTTTAAAAAACTAATTTTAGTTCTTTGCAGAATCATATTTAATTATGGCTAATTTTCCTATTATTTTTAATTTATTTATTTTGCTAGGTTGAATTATCTACTTTGGATAAGTTTATGTTTGAATTTTAGATGTGATTAACTTGATTTCTAGACTAGATTATGTTTGATTTTAAATTCAGGCCTTATCTATGTAACTTATTTTCTCTAATAGGGATGAATGATATGTAATTATGATTATTTTTATTATTTGTATCGATATAGAATGAATAAAATTATCTGTGATCAATTAAGTGTTTTTTAGATCAATTTTGAATGTGGATCGCTTCATGTATATGCTGAGTTTTCTTCTTTTACCTCCATTAAGTTGGTAGGTTTCAATAGTGGAAAAGAAAGTCGGAAGTCGGAACAATGTGATAGTGATATCAACAAGAGGAAACATAGTTACAACAAGGGAAATTATATATCTTCAATAGTGGAAATCATCAGGTCAGCAAGAACATTGTGAAAATGCAATAGTAACTAGTGAAAAATAGGAATAAAAGTGGGTAGCTGTTTGCTCTTCATATTATGTTGATGATTTTGAACTTCATATGTTGATTGGAATTCATTATGCGTAGGGCTGCAAATGAACCGAGTCGAGCCATGCTTCAAGATGTTCAAGCTCAAGCTCGTTTGCGAGAACCTTGTTCGAGCTCGGCTCGATAAGAATCGAGCTTTTTTAGCCGATGTTCGAGCTCAGGCTCGTTTAAAAAGCCCATGCTCAATCTCGGCTCGTGTTCGAGTTTTAGCTCGATTATTTAGGCTTATCGAGCTGCTCGTAACTTGTACAGGGCCTTATTTAACAAGCCGGTCATTTGGCTCTTTTAGCACAAAATAAATACTTAAAATCACAAGTACCAACATCCAATCCATCTGCACCCGCTGCCCACTATACAGTAACTGTTCTTCAGCATGTCTTTTCTTTTGTGGAGCAAAATTAAACTGATCCATGCGATCTGGGACTAAATGTCCCACTATTTTTTTTTGGGTTTATAGATCTGGCGGGCGGGAAAGTAAAAAATGGAAATGAAGGGGAGAGAAGTGAGCGGGTCCGACGGGAAATAAAAAAAATGGAATTTTTTATAATATTTTTTAAAAATGAGTTAAATAAGGTGATATTTAATCAACTTATGAGGTATAATCTTATTTTTAATTAAATAAGACATAATCAAGCTCTAATATAGATTTAAATGAAGTCTAATATGAATCCTAATCGAACTTCTTAAAGAGCATGTTCATGAGCTTTAAATGATACTGTTTGTGAATATAAATGAACCGAATGACAAGCTGTTCAAGCTCGTTTATTTAGCGATCGAGTATTTATCAAAAGTGTTCAAGTTTGTTCGTTTAGTTTATCAAACAGACATAAACAAATTTTTATCGAGTCGAGCCACGAGCATCTTATCGAACGTTTGGTTCATTTGCAGCCCTAATTATGCTAGGTTGAAATCATGTTGTATTGATTTAGGCCTAATAAACTTCTTAAAATATTAGAGCATACATCCTTTTTATATAGGAATCATCATAGGCATATCTTTTACACTTGAAATAAATTAGAAAACAAAAACTAGGAACTAATGTTTGCTTTGAAAACTCGTCCTTGGCTCTTCTGAGAGAGTTATATTTTGTTTTAAATATTTAGAAGACAGATTAGATTGTATATAAGACACTAATAAGTGATTTTGCTCTTATTTTATGAGGATTTGTGATTAGATTGCATACGTCCTTATAGTTAATTATTTGTCCCAGTGATAAAAGAAAACTTTTGATTAATTTTGGTTAATATGCGCTAAGAATTTAACATATAGCAGCAACTATTTTGGTTTTAGGATTAAAAAAAACCACCTTTACCTTAAAGTGAATGGTAGGGGAATGAAGATGAAGTCGATCAAGATGTGTTGATCTCTTCGTCCCGTGTTGTTATGATTTCTAGTCTATTTAGTCAGTAGTGGTAGTCGGCCCAATTTGACTAAAGGATCATTGTCAGCATTCATAAGTTGTGTTATCCAAAGGAATCTAATAGACTTGATGTGGATGTTTGTTTAAGAGGATAATTTTAATTCAATCTTAAATAAAAGAGAACCTTTTGCCTTATTAAGTGCATTATATAATTCACCAATTAGGGGATTTGGGGCTATTAGAGAATGTTTAGGCGTTATTTGTGACTATAAATTAATGATGTCATTTGATAGCGAAACCACTTGATTAGAAGGTCTTGGTCATAATCGTTATTTAGTGGATCCCATACATGTCAATAATGCAAAATGGTACGTGCCAAGGCTCATGGCTTGACGCAATGCAATAGTTCAAATAGTGTATGCTAGTTGCGTCATATTTGAGCAATAGTGCTTGGTGCAAAGTGCAAATTGAGCCACAATTTATTTTAACTTATTATAAATTTAAAATTATAATTTATATTTAAATTTATTAAATTATCATTTATTATAAATTAATTTTCCTAATATATTATTATACTGAGCCACAACCTAATTCCAAATCCCATCGACGTAGCTGAGGAAGATGCGCGACATTCATAATTTGGAGGTTTGAGATCAAGTCACATGGCGTCGGTCCAATGATCAGTTAGTAGTAGCTAACTGACTACTTAGAACACCAGAGAACGCACAAGGTTCATATTGGAGCTGGCATTATAGGCATGCTTTTATACTGGAAATGTACTAGGAAACAAAAACTAAAATGTAATACATATGAATTGTATTCCGAATTGACATGGACTTAAAATAACTTATTCTTCTCATAAAATTTTGTGGAATTCCAAGTAGAGTTTTTGTTGGAGTGGGTGGCCTTTTCATGGGGAGGGAACTTTATATACTATATACTATATATATATATATATAAAAAAAATTGTATTTTGATTATGAATCTTGTCATATATTCCACGAGATGTTCGACCGAGAGTTTTTTGCGGACCTTTACCATTTAATTTATGTATTATCTAATTAGGCGTAGCATCAGTTATTCCAATCAAAATAACTTAACAACCTTCCTAAAGTCATGGTATTTAGTGCCAAATTCTTCATGGGAAGTCTTAACAGCAATGTCAAATATCTCAAAAAATGACGCGAGAAGTAAAACTTAAGTCTGTGGGTTAGCAATAGGTTCAAATTTTCTTGGTAGACTACCATTTAAAAATTCCTCCCCTTTTTTTTTACTGATTGCAGTTTAACAGGGGCACCAGTGCCATGCAACATTATGTTGCATCTCGGCCAATGTTTATTGATGTGGAAGTCATGAACACAGACACAAAAATGGTTCTTGGTGATCAAGGTTTGCAAGCAGGCCCAAGCAACATTGCACGTGGCCTTTCTACACTTTACAAAGAAATCACAGGTTAGAAGAGTTTCTTTGAATCAAGTTTAAATGTGATTAGTAATTAGTTATATGTGACCTAGCCTGCTATAACTTTCTTGCAGAGACTGTTCGCAAAGAGTCAGCAACTATACAAGCTGTGTTCCCCTCTGCTAATGATGTCATGTCAATTCTTGTGCAGGTAACTTAAAAGGGATTTTTTTTCCTGAAGATTGAATGTTCATGTAAAAAAACTTGCAATTCACAAATGTAGCATTCCACGTAATAATATATTATCTTTGTGTGCAGCGTGTTTTGGAGCAGCGTGTGACAGCCATCCTTGATAAGTTATTAATAAAGCCATCCCTTGTAAACTTACCTCCGGTTGAACACGGTGGTCTGCTAATCGTAAGCGATTATGTTGTCTATTTGTATTTCCGAGTGTAATATCATCGCTTGGGGTTCTTTTGATGGTAACATATGTGATTTTGAATTCACTTTGCAGTATTTGAGAATTCTTGCAGTTGCATACGAGAAGACACAGGAACTGGCTAAAGATTTACGAGCTGTTGGTTGTGGAGATTTAGATGTTGAAGGTAGAGATAAACTTTTGTTGCTTTCTGAAGTGAGACCATCTTTATGCTCCATGACAGTCATTTCATAGATTTCTCATTCATGATAAATAACCAGGGAATGATAGGTTTGAAGTAATTTAGAGTTTGTAGCATTATGGAAAGGGGTTTTTAACTAGTCTCTATTGACCTTCGTATCAATCCCTTGATCAATAAGTTCAATAGCGATGAAAATGGTGGATAACAGATGCACTGTTACGGGGTTCCATTTTGAAACACCTCAAACATAGTTAAAATTAGCCAACCATCATTTGTTTCAAAACTTGACTGCGTTGACGTGCCTGGAATGTAAACAATATATAGAAAATATCTCTCATGACACCAAATTGTTGTACTACCAAAACCGACAACAAACGTATGTGACATTGTTAAAAATTATTCAACTGGTGGTCATTTCATGAAATGGGCTGATTGTCATGTCTGGAATGTCGAAAATACCCTAGGACACCCATATTGCCCAGGTCGCCACATGAGAGAAAAATGTGGAAAGTTCATCTACACGCGAGGTTACATGTAAAAAATCAAAATCTGTGAACGGTGAGAGTTCGCAAATGAGATTTGATAAATGCGTAAGTTTTAAATTTAATGTTATTTATTAATTTATTAAATAGAATTTCATTATGATAAAAAATGTCCATTTATATGTATATAAATTTATTTTACATATAATAACAATTATTTAAAATTTAAAAAAATCTAAAACCTCTTGCACCCCATGCCAGCCCCTCCTCTCTCTTTCTTGATCTAGTCTTCGCACAATCTCTCTCTTTCCTAGCCCACAATAACCCAAAAACCCCTTTTTTTCCTTGCACTACGCTTCACCACAACACACTGCAAGCACCCCTACTCCTTCCCTCTTCAAAATTCATACAACCTGTAAGCTACCTTTGCCCAATCACTCTCCTCTCAAAATAGCACTTGAGGCCCTCAAATCTCCCTATCTAACTCAGATGCACGTATCTGCTTAGCCTTGCCCCATAGTCTAACTTGTGCCCAGCCTGCAAATTAGTATTGTAAACATTCTCTCTCTCTCTCTCTCTCTCTCTCTCTCTTGCACGTTAGCTCTTGCTTGTGCAGGTACACACACCTCGCGCCTCTTCTCTTTCACTCCTACCCGACATCCTGAAACCCTTTCTTTTGACGGTAGGGTAGTTAGAAGGCCACAATCAGAGCTTGTTGGACAAGGTTTTGACAAGATTGACTATGTATAAAGAAGAAAAAGAGTTTGTAATGCTTGCATATTTGAGTTGAATATGTTCAAACCTATCAACTATGACAAACCCATTGCATTTTACTCTACAATGTCGACCCCAATTGTCTCTTCCCCGCATTGACTGGTGACCCATCATCTCCAACTCTTTGTTGACCACAACTAACAACCACGAAAGGCATCTCTTCCTCACACGAAAACCGCAATGTCTTCCCTCCAAATGCTATAGATCTCCAATGCCAACCTAACTATCCAACAAGCTTAATATCTATTTTCCGTTGAACTCCAGCTATCATTATTGCCGACAACAAACCTGCTGACAAGTTCCCAACCTTGTAGCTTATTCTAAACCTTGCTGGAAAACTCACACAACCATCCCGTCAATTCTTCACTTCGTCCAAACCAACAAGCTGCACCATCTACCTTCGCTTGATATGCGGTCCTTTCCTCGATTTCTTCAAATTCAAGTTGTCGACCAATTGCTACCAACCTTCACCTAGCCAAACTGCCTTTTTCATCACATTATCTCAAACTTTCATTATCCCTTTATATCACTTTCTATTCTCTATCTACCTTTCTCTACTTTCTCTCTCTCACTCTCTCTCTCTCTCAAAAGGAAAGTTTTTCGTAAAAAATAAGTGAAAAAACTAAGGTCCAAAAGAAAAGAGAGAAGGAAAATTTTGTATTATGTTTGATCTCCTTGTTGCAATCTTGTCACCTCATGTTGTCATTAATTGCCTCATATGTGAGGTAAAAATGCAAAAACTTCTATAAAATTTAAGCCCATGCTCATTTTTCCAATGTGTCGAAAGAACTCTCAAATAATTACTCATATGTACTATTCTAATGGGGCGAGCAAACCCAGTTGTATGCATTTTCGTGTGGGAGCTAAAGACATGCACATTTTTTTAAGTGTGCTGGGTATGAAGGGGTTATGATGTCCTAGACATTGACTATGCTTTTGTTTCTTAAGTGTTTTGGGAAGGCCTAATACTCTAGTAGATTCCCTCTGCACTGGGGAGACGATGGGTTGAAAATTTTCCTAAATGAACTTGTAAATAACAAAGTTTATATGAACTTCTAGGAATAAAAGTGACCAAAAAGTTAATGAATGAAAAATGAACAAAAAAAAAAGTACAAAAATTGCAAGATAAGACCAAAGTTGAGCATTCTACATATCATGATATGTTTGTTGCTTTACAAGTGAAATTGAATACAAAGAAAACTTATAGGGAATTCGATAGTTCGCTAGCGAGCAAGAATAGAACTTGGTAGCTTGCCAACAAACACAAATAGTATGCAGGAACCCAGTCTATAACACAAATAGTATGCAACAAGAATATGACTTAGTTCGCACTGTAGGAACCCAGACGAAGAAGCCCTGTTCGACTCCTCTGCTTGTGCTCGTGCCTCCAACCCGACCCGCCTTCGTCCCGCTCGATCCCAGACGCTCGCTTGTTCCCTCTCGCCCGATCTTCACGTACACAACCAGCTCGATTCTTCTCCTTCTCGATTCCCTCTAGTTGAAGTCACCCAGTTAGTTGATTGCAACCCGATCGACTGCACAAATCCCAGTCCATCAACTTGATCCAAGCCATCAACATCCGATGTCATTTGCACATGACCACATCCGCAACTCTAGCCCTACCCGTCATTGTCTTTATCAATATTTTTACACTAAAATGTATAAAATTATATCTTATTTGCTTAAACAACAAGTATCGAAGACTTGCATTTGGTTGTATCTTTGAGTCGACCTGGAGATAAATAAAGAGAACATATGAAGGCTTGCGCCGTCATATCTTTGATATGGCTAGGAAAAATTAATTATGCGAAGACCTTGCATCATCGTTTTTTTTATCCGGCCGGCATGAACAAAGTCAAGTGCCTACCTGGCATTTTCTACATAGGGGGGTGGGATATAGGGAGGCTGTCAAAATTTTAAATGACAAAGGATCCCTTCATAATTAATTTTAAAAGTAAAATCATACACATCTAATTTAATATTTTAACCAACTGAAAATATTTATCATTCGAAATGATTGTTGGTTAATGTACTAAATGACATATTCTCAATCTATTTTTTAATAAAAGGACCTTGCTATGGGGAAGGCAATCACTAACTAATGGTGTCATCGATGAGATGAAAGAGAAGTGAAGGCACCATTATTAATTTTCATACTTCAAATGTAGCTAGCATAGAATCACATATGTTTATTTATGCTCATCTAGTATCAATCGAGTATCCAATTGATGTTACAAAAGAGCAAGCAACACTTAACTATGTTATTTTGTAGTACATAACTTATATGAAACATAATTGTGCGTTTCAGTTTCAAATGATATTAAATCACTCATTATGGGCATCACTTATGTTTCACTAATGCACACAGCCTCAATTGGACTTATGCTTGCATGTACTAGCACTTAAAAAAAGAAAAGGCACAAGGGATAGAAGAAGAGAAAAAAATGTTGACCATATGTGCTTATTTGACTCATGTGCGTTTTACTTTTAATTGGACAATTACAGCCAAGTATACTCTTTCATCTAATATGATTTTCCAAGCGTTCCAACATGTTACACGTTACACGAGCACACATTACAAGAATGATATGTTAGATCAACCTGGTGATTATTTACTTAAGAGTTGGATTAACTTGGAGTTTATTCATTTAGAAATAGAGTAAAAAGAGACTTATCAGCAAGACTCAAGTGCAAAGTACCAAGTTTAGTGTCTAAGTATTATATATTTTTTTTTATGGGAAGAATATTTAAGAAACACATCAAGGAGAGATGAAATTAAGATAAATGAAACATAATAAAATATTTTAGTTTGGTAAAGGGATCATAACATCCACCCTTTTTTGAGCTCAACAAGCTCTTACTCTATCTAGTTCGATTCTTTTGTATGTAACCTGCCCCAAGTTACATAAGGGCTTACTCTTAATGAATTCTTAAGCTCAATAGCAATTTCAAAATGTGGAAATTGGAATTTTGGGAGGTGTAAATCATTATCATTTCTTTCAAACTACAAATTAATCTTTCCAAGAAATGCACCAAATATGTAAATAATGAAACTTCCCGACTACTTGGATGAGTAGGTACACATCAGAATTTTATCCAAGTTCCGTATGTGCTCCGATCTATACGTCAAGCTCCTAAATGTGAGATCTGAAAATGCTTCGTGGATTTTCTAAAAGTGCTCAAATACTCTAACAATAGACTTGTTGATAGAAAATTTAATCGGAGATAGCTATTTAATTTTGAAAATACGCTCAAAATTCTAAAAGCCATCCCGTCAAAACCTAAACTCAAATCCTACTAAGAATTTAAACACTTAGAATAAAATTCGTCACAAGAAACTTAAAAACAAAAACCCATATACACTTTGTCAACGGTTTGACGAGGATGATGAATTAAAGAATAACTTAATCTCATAAAGAGTAGGTGTCTTGTGGAATATATTACTACAATTCATTATCAATCGATTTATCACTAGCAGGGACATGGCATGTGCCCACTAACTGGGTAGTTTTGTCGTAAAATGGCACCACTATATTACAGTCACGACCTAAGTCTGTGTGTTCCCTAATGGTTAAATGCTCATTGAGTGATGAATTATAGAGTGCGCTTGATAAAATATGAAACCCTGTGTTAGCTAAGGTTGACTTAAATTTACCACCTTAGATAAACATCTATCCCAGGTCTATAAGGTACCTTTGGATGATGTAACCAATGGCTGCTGATAAGGATCATTCCGTCAGGTTGAGTCAACTACCTCCTATGACGAGAGACCATGACAACATGTCGAGGGTAATAAATTTGAGAATATTCTCTACTTAGAAAGATTAAATGTCTTGTCAAGCATCTATTTACAATTCATTCTTAAACTCTCTCGCCAATAAAGATGTGACATATGTTCATTAAGTGATAGTTTTGCCACCAAATGGTATCATAGGTAAACAGTTATGATGGGGGATCTTTAATAAGATATTTTTGTCGCAAAAGGATACTATTAAATTATTGTCAGGCTCAAAACATGTAAGTTCCCGAATTGATAAAAATTATTGAATAATGAATCATACGATGCACTTTATATGACAGAAATCTCTCTGTTAACTAATGTCAACTTCAATTTATCCCTTTAGACAAATATCCACCCTAAGTCTAGAAGCTTCTTTTAGGAGAAGCAATGGTTCCCGATAAGGATATTTCAGTTAGATTGGGTCGACTATCTCCTATGACTGAGTAGACTAAGGACTATGACAACTCATGATGATAGAATCATGTGATCTTGATTGAGTTTGTCATTATTCTCAAACCATCTGCTTTAAATGTTAGATGGTTAACTAGAAATTTTAGATCAAATTGCTGCTATGATGAGGACATCAGATTTCGACACGTGTACCATCGCCGGAGACGCAGATCGACGGCTACGATCCATAGTCTCTATTTTTGATTTATTTGCATCTTATTTTTATGATTGTATTTTTTTCCTTATTTCCTAGTTTACCCCTGAGGGCATTGAGTCTCTTATGTAGCCCTGAGGGCATTTATGTCATTTTAGTTGTGTTTTATTTTTGCCTACTTATATGAGGCCTCATTCATTGTAATAGTTTAGTTTTGATGAATGAAAAACCCTAGCCCAGCTCCTTGTTTTAGCTGCCGGCCCCCACTTCCCCCTCTGATTTTCAAATTTGAAATTTAAATTTGTTTCACGAGGCCTTGAATGCTTTCCTAAAATAGCTCCTTGATTTAAGGCTTCAATATTAATTGGATTTAAATTTGAATGACTAATTCAAATTATTTCTAATTGCTAGCCTCAAATTTTTGGAAACTTTCCCTCTTACAAAAATCTGAAAATTAATTCAGATTTTATTAAATATTTGATTAGTAATATGGGCCCCACTTATGATTTTTAAATCCTTTCCCCTCTCTATGTGGCCGGCCCTTCATTGGGCTTAATCTCTCTCATATTTTATTAATTGCTCCCCAATTAAACTCCTTGATTCCTCTTAAACCGCCGGCCCCATTATGGGATTAATTTGAATTCACAAATTAATTTCCCTCCCACCTCATTTAATGGAAATTCAAATTCAGATTTCTCATCAGTCTCTGTACTCTCCACCCGTCCGCTCCCCTCTTCCTCACCACCCAAGCCCTTGCCCCCACCCGTCCCCCTTGGCTCCACCTCCCCTAGGTGGCCTTTCTCCCTCCTTACACCACCTCAACGCCACGATCTCCCGTGATGCATGGCGGATCCCGAAATTGATAGCGGATTGGTACTCGACGTCTACTGTTGAAGATTATTTGAACCCGTTCTTCGACGTCGGGTTTGGCTCCGACGACACTGTTGAAGATTATTTGAACCGCATCCTTCCCACTCTCGTGGATGTCATAGACGATCAATTCCAGGACTACGATTGGACCATCAACGACCATCCACCCGCTTCTCTAACTCCCATTTCCTCCCCGGCGACGAGTCCTCTCGGCATCACCTGTGTACTAGGGGTAACGCTAAGTTTGCTTACAATCATCTTCCGTTAGCCCCCACTTTCAAGAGCGATTGAATGACCTCCAGGTGAAGGATCTATATGTTAAACGTGTGGCTTTGTTAAAATAATCTTTTAGCATCATCTGTATTTTTGGTTATTAAGTTTGCAAGTTCTCGTTATCTCAATTGTAATCAATTACTGTTGCTTTGTCTCTCATGCTATTTTCTGAAACCCTACTTGAGTAAACGTGTTTTTATTGGAAGTACGCTAAGTTCAAAATAGTTATTAATTCTTAAGTGCAATCCTGGCTGTCATTTTAGATTCACATCATTTCGCATATAGTTTCACATCATGCTATTATACACTAAACAATTAGCATCAATCTAAAGGTTAGTCTTAATTGAAAATTCTTTGTAATCGTTGAGATAGTTAATAAACTATAACAGTTTGCGCTTATGTGACATTTGGAACTATATTATAAAGTTTTTGCGAAATGAGGGCGAAATATTTTGCTAGTATTTTATCTATAATCTAATTAGCCTTAAAAAAAATTGACCAAGAAACATTCAAACTCTCTATCATAGTAGAGATTAGGGCATGAATTTTTGGAGCCCACAATTTCATAAGAATTATGGGTGAGATACGATTACAATTAGTACTCTACTATAAGGGTGCACATGCTGTCATGGTTCATGCATACATAAATTCACAAACTTTAAGCAACTTGTGATCATTAAGCTTAGACTAACCATTTGGAGTCAATTTTATAAGCCCTTTCCTTCTTTGAATAGAACTTAATTTATCGGGAATTTCTTTGACTGTGTAGTGTTTTGTTTTGGTTCCCAATGTTGTACATTGAGAGGTTTTTCTCAGATATTTTTTTTTATCTGTAGAAACTGTCTTGCACATGCCCAAGTGCATAGGGATAAACTTGAATGAGTAAACTATACTTGATTGTTAGAGACGTGGCATGAATAGATAACTTTAATTATATATCTATATTATACATTATTTTAATTTTGATTGTATACATAAAACACTTTTATTTATATTAGATGTATTCTTATATTTTTTTTGGCTGTCTCTTGATTTGAAAACACTGAAAAAATTTCTCCCTAGTGCGGGTTTAGGTCTTTGATTATACTGGATCCACTGTGCTTAAGAAGTCATATGGTCTAAATCAAGAAAACAGCCTCTTTGCAAAGCAAGAGTAAGACTGTATATAACCCCTTCCTTTTCTGAGTTGGCGGGGTCTCTGCACAGTTGGTATAGTCTGAAAAGGGCAACTCAATTTGGTTTGACTCCATCATAATTGACAAGCACCTTATATACATATATATAAGGATGGAGTTACTTCTTACACATCTTTTATCTTTCATAAAAAAATTGAATGAATAAGATTTGAAGTTGATAAAAGTTATTAATAATTAGGGGTGTCACAAAATGATCCAGCACTTCAACTTGATTCGAACTTCTCCTGAAAAATCCGGTTTGGATTGACCCATTTAATAAACGGTACGAGGTCAGGTTGACTGGTTTAATAAATGGATCGGGTTCGAGTTGACTTGCGAAACTATTTTTGTCCCGAAAATGATTTGTTTCTTATTTGTTTTCCTTAATTTTTGTACTAGTAGGTATAATCTTCTTATTTTTGATCAAATATGTTAAATTTATAGTTACTAAGTTATTTAAAAAAAATTAAACTAACATTGGTTAATGGGTCGGGTTCAAATTGTTCGGGTTGCTAGCAGATCGGGTTTATGTTGGTGTTTTTAACTCATTTATTAAAAGGGTTGAATTCAAGTTGATCGTAGTTGCGACAGGTCAATTTTTTGGTCTGATCCGAACTTGATCTGTCAACCCATTTTAACAACCCTATTAATAATGTAAATAGCTAGAGGTGTCTTTTAGACGGATGCTTCCCTTGCACATTTTCCAGCCTCCAACAAATTTGAATGGCTATGCTTTGAATGTGCTTAAATATAACTTTTAGCTACTTCAAATCTTTGCCATTTAAATTTTATGGAGGGTGAAAGATGTGCAAGGAGAACTGAATCGTTCCTTCTAAAATAATTGTAGCCTCACTCTATGTACATGCATTTATTCTCGTATAAGAAGGCAAATCATCCATAAGTATATGTGACCCGCCCAACAATCTCCCAGCCTTCAAATGCCATAACCACAGCATTATATACATTGAGATATGAACCCCTCCTTGTTATCACTCCCTCGCCAGTCCGTGAATGCCTGATTATTCTTGCCACCAGATGCCTGACCTGCATGCAAATGAGGTCCTCAATGAGTTTTTGCTAGATTAAATTAGATTGGATTCCATCTCTACTACTTTTAGGGATTTGGTCCTTGCTTTTATTTTACTAAAGAAAAATTATGCTTTCAATTTTTGGGAAGGGATGATCCTGTGGAACTAAGGGCCTAACCTGCTCTAAAAATTTATGTCCCAGATACTCATCTTCTTTTTAGTTATTGCGTGCAAATGCGTCTCTCAATGCCTCACCTACAATTTTTTTTCTGTCCAGGTCTTACAGAGTCTCTATTTTCTGCTCATAAAGATGATTACCCGGAACATGAGCAGGCATCTCTCAGACAACTTTATCAAGCGAAGGTTATTTATATCCTTACTCAAAATCTTTTTTATTTGATTTCATCTACTATCAGATTGTTAATTAGCAGCAACAAGCCAATTTATGACTAAATCTTACAGGTGGAAGAGCTGCGTGCTGAAGCCCAGCAGCAATCTGAAGCAGCTGGAACTGTCTCACGCTCAAAGTCAGGCTCCAATGCATCTGCTCATCAACAAATATCTGTTACTATAGTAACCGAGTTTGTCCGCTGGAATGAGGAGGCAGTATCTAGATGCTCTTTATTTTCCTCACAGGTATGGGGTGCATTATCATTTTTTTCACTTTGAAGGTTTTTTTATTGAAAAATTAGGTAAGCTTAATTAAACCTGGGAACCAAGTTTATTTAGTTTTCAGCATAATGCAATGGAAGATAAGATTAAGTTCATCTCATGAATTTCTCCCCTCAACCACATTGTCTCATCTTCAAGGCCAGTAAATTGCTTATTGATGACATTTCTCATCTACAAGGCTATTGAAACTGCCTATTGTGAGTGATGGAAGAAGGCATGCAAAATTTTTTTTTAAAGCATTGCATTTATTTGATAATGTATGATTTGTTTATTACTTGGGAAATTTGATCAAAGAGGGAGTGAATTAACTGGTTTTTTGCCTTTGTTTATATTCTTGGTAGTGGTTAATTGTTTGAAGTTTCATTCTTTTGCTTTGATAACTTATGCTGTTTGTGTTCATTATTTTATTTTCGTGTAATATCATTTTTTATGAGAGGAACCATTTCCTTTTTTTTTAATTTATTGCTAGCTTTTAAAATTCTATCTGATATAGGGTTCAATGGAAATTTCTGAACAAAATGAATGTGGTTTCACCTAATGAAAGCAGAAATATCGTTCAAGTGACAAGGATTTCATTTGAACGATGAGTTTGTGGTGAGCATAACGCACCATTTTTCAGCACCAAAATGCATAGTAGGCTAGTTTGATACTCATAAATACAATGAATTGGTAAATCCTAATTGGTGAGCCATATGTTTAGTAGTCTTAACTCTTAACCAAGTTTCTATCATATTAACTACATAAAGCTTTCATTTGCATAATTTGTGATCACATTAGAATGATGGGAGATGAAAAATTGGATTGTTTTATGATATGGCGATCTGCAAATCATCATTTGTTAATTTGATTTGATAGGCTACCCTTTCACCATAAAGGTATGATATCTTTAATGTATTTTCACCCCTGCTGTATCTTGGCAAAAATCACTTAAAGCTAACAAATTAACTTTCGATGCCTCTTACACCTCTAGTATCTCGATCTTAAAAAATGTCCTCATCCTTGCCTTAACATGATGCGGACATCCAACCATCCATGCCTATCCGAGGAGGAGCTGAAGATCGACGGCCGTCATCGTCCCACGTTATCTTAAATTTTATCTGTAATTTTTATTTTTATTATGAATTTTTCATTTTTACCCTCACTTAAGAGAGTCGTCCTATGTAAGCCCTAGGGGCATATGTGTCTTGTTTTAGTTTCTTAGGCCTATATATAGAGGTTCTTGCTTGTGTAATGTAATGATGGATTATTAATAAAAAAAAGAATTGGAGCATTTGTCTTGATCTCTATGTGAGTTATGGAGAGGAAAAGTCCTATGGGAGGACAATATTGTTTCCACCAGTCGCAGGATGGATCCGAGCTCGTGGATTGAAGTCCCTCGGGGAGGGCAATGTAGTATCCACCAGCCGCAGAAAGAGTCTGGGCTCGTGGTTTGTATCATTTTTATTTTATTTTTTCTTTGTTTTTCGTCCTCTCATCTCTAGTCTTCATCATTAACCATCCGTTTTTGTTTGATTTTGTTTGATTTTGGTTAACTTTTCTTTTGGTGTCAAACATCAACCCCTCCACCTCCATAGTCGGCCAACCACCTCACCCCTAGCCTCTTCCCTCCTCTACAAATTTTGAATTTTGAATTCAAAATAGCCTCTTTATTACCTTCCTAAATTAATCTATTGTTAACTTGGAAATTTTCTAATTTGAATTCAAAGATATTTGAATTTCAAATCCTTCCCGAATTAACAAATCTAATTTTGGAAGCCTTCCCCTAATTCCTCTAAATATGAGATTAATTTTAGATTTAATATCAAATCTCATTTAATGCCTTGGGCCACATACATCGTATGTGGACATCTCTCCCCCTCCTCCTTTGGCTGCCCCCCTTTTCCCTCACATATTAATTAATTCCCCTCAATTAATGCTCTTAATCAAATCCCTTTCCCTCTAAAATTTATTCTTTCCTAAATTAAGTTGTTCTAATTTTTGGTAATTTTTCAAATTCGAACAAGTTTGAAATTTCAAATTATTTCCTAATCATTTAGCTTAATTTTGGAAAGCCTTCCTTCAATCAAGGATTGGGTAAATCAAAATTTAATTCAGAATCAATTCAAATTCCACATTCATTGAACCTGGACACCCTATCTCCTTTTCCTCTCTCTTTGGCCGACCCCTTCTCTACCTTTTTCAATTAATTTGAAAATTCAAAATTCACATGACCTCGGGTAAATCAAAAATTAATTCAGAATCAATTCAAATTTCACATTCATTGAACCTGGACACCCTATCTCCTTTTCCTCTCTCTTTGGCCGACCCCTTCTCTCCCTTTTTCAATTAATTTGAAAATTCAAAATTCACATGACCCCCCCCCCTCTGGTTTCCTTTCTTTCACTTTAAGTTGTATTAATAGCGGATTTTGGCATGCATTCTTGTCTATATGATTTCTTTGAATTACTGTACTTTCTTTTTCTTCCAGCCCTTTCACTTTAAGACTTTGTGTCACTTCGTTGTTATTGTCAGTAAAGTAAGCTGAGAAGCACTCTGGTTAAGCTGAGAAGCTTTTGCTATCGCCTGAAAGTCCTATTGTCCGGGTGCCTATAACTCCAAAAGCGAATGATTATTTTCTTAGGTTGCCTTGCTAATGTTGTTTCCAGAAAAATGACTGAAATGCCTATTTGTTGTAATACTTTGTTAAAATCAATCGGAGGCCTCACGCTGTGGGGAATTGAAAGAAGAAAATAGTAAAAAGTTATGGTTACCTAAAAATTATATTTTAACAAAAAAATAGGTTTTCAAATGTTTTAAATGGTACGTGACCTGTTGATTTCTATAACACCTGACAGGAAATTTAATGCTGAAAATACACAAGGCCCAAGCATAATACACACGTCATAATGAAAAAGATAATACACACGAAAAAAAAATTGTCCTATTTGATTGTGCTTGGTGGACAATGACAGATTTTTAAGACACATCTTGTGTCTCCCATGATGACTTTGCTACTATTTCTCAAAAAGAGCGACTGATTCCTTTCGTTGCCTTCCATGGCTTGATGTAACCACTAACCTAGCCAACATAATGTCACGCTTCATTCCTCCATGACTTAATGAAACCACTAAACTAGCGAACATAATGTCAAGTCCCATTTTTGTTCTATCTCTAGTCAACCATGAGGCACAACAAGGGCGGATAATTTAGGCAGATGATTTTCCTACATACTCCTTGATATGAAAACATGCGTAATTTAAATCATTAAAATAGATCATAGAACTTCTTATACTTTTATAGAAAACTTATACATACTAGAAGTCTTTAATTTATCTCACATGCATTCTTTTTTATATTGCATCCCAAAATTATACATCCATCCATAATATCAAGGTATAACATAAGTTGGGTCATATGTCTATGGTCATATCTACTCCTTTGACTTCCCTGAAAAATAGTCATCGTAATATCTGATGAGCTAAAAACCCAGTCAAATAAATAATTTTGATGTGAGTTTCAAATATATAAGAGAAGTAATAATATGCATGTTGATTCTTTGAACTAATATGAGCATTTTTATTATAGATATTAGTTTAGTACAATAATAAACTTTAAAAACATTTCTTTGACATTTGAATAAATAAAAGACTTAATTTTAAGCAATGAACATGAATATCTATAAGAACATGATATCATTTGTGAAGTCTTAAATCATGAAGTGTACTTATCAATTTCTTACACCACTTTCACCAATTTCTTTTCTTTTTCAACAACAATAATAACAACATCAAACATTATCCCACTATGTAGTGTTGGCTACTTGAATCTTTTTCCTCCATTGTGTCTTTTCTTTTTTGTTATTACTAATTATGTTTTCTTAGAAAGGTCATATAAGCTTTCACATTTATATTATTGGTTGTCCCTTGGTTCATTGACTTTGAAAATCAATGATAAAGTTTGGACAATCTAACCTATTAATTATTAATAGCTCCCTCGACCTAAAGCTTGAACATTATTTTTTCAACTTTCTAGGATCAAGAAAATTAATGATAAAGTTTGGTCGGGCTGCGTTTGGTGTGAGTGCGGGATATGCATGATGTTGGGAGCTTCGACGGTTGTGGGAGCTTGGGTTGCACAGTATAATACACTCAGGAGCCATGGTTTGTGTGTACCGCGACTTCAGTTGTGTGAGGCGGAGAGGTCGAAGTCGCCATTCGCGATTTGCACGGAGGTTGGCCGGGATGTGTTCGCACAGGCATATTAGGCTCGAACGAGGTGGTTACGTGGTTGTTGGCGCGTGTTGTGTGGTCACACGTGGATTACCTGGGCATACGGGCCGATAGTTGTGTTTGCGGGAGACTCGATCGCGCAGGTCGGCGTGAGATCAGAAGGAACGGGCGTAGCGACTGGTTTGTAAGAGTGAGGCGCTTCCTGGGCGTGTGAGCACGTGGAGTGAATGCTAAGCCTGGGCGTGTCGAGTGTGCGATTTTGTGCATGTGGACAAAGGCTTGGAGTTCGGGCGGTGCTGGAACAAGTGCCGCAGATCGGCGGTTTCGAGAAGGATCAATAAATACAAAACACAAAATATTGCGGCGTGAGAATGCTCGATCATACATGCGGTGCTGTGGTGAAACTCGGGCGAGAATCGGGCTCAGAGGGGGGGGAGTCGCGGGCTGATTAGAAACAAGATTTGCTTGTTCTTGATTAAAGATCTGTTTAGATCTTTTTGAGGTGGAGCCTCCGGGTTAGAACGTGAGCATATCAACAAGTTCAGATTTGGCGTGTCAGAGCAACGGAGACAAATGCAGTGGGTCAATTACTTCGGGCGGGAGGATCAAGAACCTTGGAGCTAATCACGCAGGAGTTAGTCGCGTGCAGTAGTGTGCGAGAAGCGGGCTCCAAGCTCGGGATCGAATAGGTGGCTTGTGCGAAGTCTTAGGTCGGAGTGCGCACGAGTGTCTGGGGAAGACAGGTGAGCTGAAGGTTGCTCAGTGTTAGAGCGCGGGCACATGAATCACAGGAGGAACAATGATGTACGCAGACGGGTGTGGGTTAGAACACGCGAGAGTGCGAGTTGGGGTTGTGGATCAGAATGGACGATGGAGGTCGGGCGTGAGCGGGATTGGGCTCAGCTCGGCTGGTCAGATCACAGTAGGGGCGGATTCTTGCGAATAGGTGGTTCTTTGATATTTATTGTAAAATCTGGATCAAGGTGAAGATTGTTAGGATTGGTCCAGTTTTAGGTTAAGTTATTCCTGAAGCATCACGCCATTGTCAATCCTATATATAGATGTTATAGTTTGATGTATTGGTGGGAAAAATTGAATAAAACTTTAGAATGTTTTCCTCCTAAAAATCTGCTCTCTCCTCTCTCTCTCTCTAAATCCAAGAAAGATTAAGGTCTCCTCTCCTCTTCAAGAAATCCCAACAAAATTGCTTGTTATGAAATCTTGAATGAGGAAGAAGATGCTCCTTGAGCTTCTTAGAAGAGAGAGAGAGAGAGGCAAGGAAGGGAAAGAGATTGCACAAGAATTCTTTATTCCTTATTCAAAATGGGCTATTACAAGGGGCATCTATACATCATCATATCCTTTTATATATAGGAATTAACACCAATGTGATGTCCTTATAGAACCACTTAATTTAAAATTGGATAAATCCAAGGTTTAAAATTGCGTAAATAAGCCTCGAGGCGGTCTGAGGCGTAAGCCTCACGGACGCAGAATTGCGTAAATGAGAATTTAAGAGTTTTAGCAGGTAAATAATATTAAGATTCAATCATACAATAAAAACATCTAAATGATAAGTGGAACTAGTGGAAATTAAGAAAAAAGATGCAATAAAAACATGTTCTAAAGCACAAAACCACAAAATTATAGTCTATCAGAACTCCCAAAATACAATTAAGGAGCATATAATATCCAATCATATCCCATCACTTTAAGTAGGTGGGCGTCACAGGTGTAAACGAGTCAGAGTCAAGTCGAGTATCTGACTTATCAAGCCTGGCTCGTTTAACCCTCAATGAGCTTGAACTCGAGCTCGATCTCGAATTCGACCTCGATTAATAAGCTCGAGCTCGACTTGTTTAAAAAATACCAAGCATGTACCGCTCGGTACCGAGCGGTATTGGAAGTTTAAACAGTGGTCGAACAGCTTATACTGATTGGTGCGGTGAATTTTAACCCACTGTGGGACCGGGTTGATGAGGCGTACGCCTCACCTATAATTGCGCAATTGCGCCTTAGAGGCGCGCCTCAGACTCGGTGAGGCGTACGCCTCTGCCAAGAGGAAAATTGCATAAGCCTCGAGGCATATTTGGGGCAAATTGCGCAGAGGCGCGCCTCTTGTTGCGCAATTTTAAACAGAGGATCAATCCTAACAATCTTTACTTTGGTTCATATTTTACAATCAAAGATCAACGAATCACCTGTTCGCAATAATACATGCTTATTGTAATCTGACTGACTTCCTGTACTAACTCTATGAGCAAATCCGTCGAGCTGAGCCCAATCATGCTCGCGTTCGACCTCCATTGTGCATTCCCATCCATGACTCCAGCTCATGCTCCTGCGCATTCTAACCCAAGTGCGCCTGTGCCTGCTACTATTCCTCCTGTGATCCATATCCTCTTGCCTTGTGCTGTTGTGCAGTGCCTCTCTTCCCTAGACACCTTTGCGTGCTCCAACCTAAGAATTCGCATGAGCCACCCATCCGATCCTGAGGCGGACGCCTACTTCTTGCGCACTCGTGTGCGTGGTTGCCTCCTGCGTGATCTATTCCGAGGTTCTTGATCCACTGCTTTGACACACCAAATTTGATGACCCTGTTGTTGCTTTGCTCACGTTTTGATCAGAAGGATCCACATAAAAAAGATCTAAATAGATCTTTAATCAAGAACAACCAATTCCCGCTTCTAATTGGCCCGCGCCTTCCGCGCTCCGAGCCCAAGTCTCGTCCGGGTCCTGCGCACAACACCGCACATCTGACCCAGCGTCCCTATTCTCACGCTGGAACTATCTTTTTTCTTTCTTACTTGATCCTACTCGAAACTACTAGTATGCGGTCCTTGTTCCTTGCCCGCTACTCGGCCTGCTCAGCCTCGTGTCACAGCTCTAGGCATTCCCACGCCCAACCTCTGACGCGGCCAACCTGTGACATAATATGCTCCTTCGACATGGCCAGCCTGCGACCCAGGCTTTCGCCTTCCTCACGCGAAGTCTGCATGGGTCGGCCTGCTACCAGCCCCACGTGCTCCATTGTGCATGTGGTTTGTTCGCACACCTGCCTTCCTGTGGCTGGCCCAACTCAGCGTAAGTCCTCCCATCCACCTCCTCTCTTTCTTGGACAAGAACCTTCTTCCACCTTGAGATCGCCTCTAAGAGGCTCTGATACCACTTGCTATGAAATCTTGAATGAGGCAGAAGAAGCTCCTTCAGCTTCTTGGGAGAGAGAGGCATGGAAGGGAAAGGGCTTGCACAGGAATTCTATTTTCCTTATTCAAATTGGGCTATTCTAGGGGGCATCTATACATCATCATATACTTCTATATATAAGAACTGACATCGATGTGGTATCTTTTTGGAATCACTTAATCTAAAATTGGACCAATCCTAATACACTTTCTCTTTTTCTAATAATATCATATTTAGTGCACCTTTCATTTTTTGAAACATTAACTCAGATGCACTGTTGAGGAAAATCATGCTAAACTAGCTTTAATTCAAATCCTTAATTAATTATTTTGCTAGCCTTCTAAATCTTTATTCTTACTAGGTCTTACATACGCTTTTTCTATTGGTTCAACTTTATCCTTCCCCGACTAAATATACAATACTTCCTGGCATCCATTCTCTAGTATCCAGTTTACTTAATGTTGCCTTTTTTTAAAAAGAAAAACTTAGTGTTGCCTTATTTTTTGAGTAACTCTCTAAATCATATTGTGCAAGTCTTATTCATTCGATTGTGTAATTCTGTATCAGTTTGCTTATAATCAGTTATCATGTAACTGCTGGACCTCGTGACCCTTCTTAAATTTGACCTACCAGGCTTGAATCCTCTTAGAGTGTGTCCTCAGCCATATCCTTATAGTTCTGCCAATAACTCAAAATAAATTAATCTTGTATGCAACAGTTAAAAGTCTATCACTACTTCCCGGGCATTATCTTTTATCTTGTAGGTTAAAGGTGAATGCTAAATACTCTAACTTCAATCTCTTTGAAGTGGCATAATCTTCTTCTTCTATGGCATCTACAGATACATCTACAAATACTTTGTTTTTATGCAAGAAATAGCATGAACTCTTGAAGTAGCGCAATGTTATGGAGAACAAGAGGGACAGAATTCAGAGACATGGATGAGGAAATTTGTACTTCCTTTCTAAATAACTTTCATCCTTCAAGGCACAAAAATCGTTATTATACTTCTAAAAGTGTGTCTGGAGTTTATATTGACAATTTGGGGGTGTTGCTTAGGTTTGTTTCCAATGGAGTACCATCTTCCTATTGATTTTGGGTACAATGTACTTCTCATCTTTTTATGAGGGTTATGTAAGACTGCTGTGTATTAATCTTAATGTGCTCTATTGCTACTGTAATATTTTTCTAATGGAAACTGTGTATATTCTTTTTGCAAGCTCTTCTTGCACTTTAATGCCATCTTGGTCTTCTATTGGACAGTCTGCCAGTCTTGCTGCTACAGTAAAATCTGTTTTTAATTGCTTGCTGGATCAAGTAAGTTATGTATGAAGTTTTTTATTCTTTATTAGTATTATTTTTAAATGTCTTCTTTCAATTAGGATGGGCTGTCTTGAGGATCTTTCCAATAATTTTAATGCTGGTATATGTGCAGGTGAGCCAATATTTGACTGATGGGCTGGAGCGGGCCAGGGAGAGTTTGAATGAAGCAGCTGCATTGAGGGATAGGTTTATGATTGGGGCAAGCGTTAGCAGAAGGGTAGCTGCAGCGGCTGCTTCAGCTGTATGAACAATCTCTTGCTCATTATTGTCCATATCGACCTCATAAATTCAGAAATCCTAATTCAACAGTAATTCGATTTATTCAATGTATTGGATACAAATAGGACGGGTTATCATTGAGCTTCAATTCACCATGCAAGAAAATAATTGTCCTATCACCTAAAGGAGTTCACCTGGCTTAATTTCACCCAAATAATGTGAGTTTTTTGGAAGTCAATCGATAGTATTTATACTGGCTCGGGAAGTGGAGAGGGGAATATCTTAATACGTACAGCATGAATTGCTTTATATATTAGTTCAGTTTTTATGCCGTAAAAGAATGTCTGACACCAATATTTGCTTACCAGATAAATTATAGATCAGACAAAGTCTATAACATTGTCGTATGTATACAATGGAGGAGCTGGTTTGATTCTTGAACTTTTGGTGTCCTGGAGCTGTTAGGGACTTGTCCTATAATACCATAGTGAGCTTGCCTTTTGTCATGCTGTTTCATTTTTTTTATCAAAAAATAGATACCATCTTTTGAAATGTTTAACATACGCCAGAGTTAGAATAGTTGAGAAAATTTTAAGAAGGGTCTTACAAATAGAAGAACAATGACTAATTTTATGATAAATTATTTTAGTGGGTATGAAATTAATAGTTATCAATCAATATTCACCTGAAGATCAAGTGAAGTTTAGTTGATTGATTTACTTATTTTTGATCTACCATATAGAAGATGGAAATATAAGTTGCTAAGATTGGGTGGTTAAAATTGAAAAATATCTCAATTATTATGGACTAATAGAATATCTTGGAGACTTAAAGGGAAATGTCCTAAAATTACTATTAGAACTAAAATTACTATTAGAACCGATAATGCTATATCGATATACATGTTTGTGCTTGGAAATACTTGTAGTTCTCAAGTATTCCCTAACAATAGAGGCACAAACAGCAGGAAAAAATGCAAAATCTGAGGGAAATTTCAATAAAACAGTTATTTTATATCAAGGATAGATCTAATCGAGTGACGAAAACAAGATACACTTGATCCTCAATTCGAGAGAATGATCGTTCTCTCCCAATCTCTAGACAAAGCTAGAGCCCAACAAACCAAGGAACAAGACTCCGAAATTAGCCACCAAACAAAGCATAACCATAACCCTAAAAAACCATACTATTTAATACATTAATTTCCTAATTCAAACTCTTAATTCAAAATTTCTCTCTCATGCCTAGCCGCCCCCCTCTCTTTCTCTAATTGGCTCCTAGTGGGGCCCACTAGCTTGGGTGGAAAAATCAAAGGGGCGGCTTTTGTCCGCCTCCTGTAAACAAGAGGTGGCCTTTGAGCCGGCTGGGCCGGTTCAGGCTGAACCGGCCTAACAGTTTGGTAATAGAAAGTCATTGATAACTTGTGATGGAAATGAGAATGTAGAGGTGGATGTGTGAGAAAACGATCAATACATTGATAAATGAATATATTAAGGGACAGTAGAAATAGCGCCCGCTAAATGGTGGCTTTGGCATGTACAATGGAGAGCAAAAAAAGTACCAATAAGATGGATAGAAAAGATGAATTTAGAAGAAAGGAAAAGGGATTGACCAAAATCAAATGGTTGGAACTGGTATAAATTTTGCGTAAAATAAAGTTGAACTTATTATACAATACTCTACCTGAATGAATTAATGAAAAATAGGGGCTTGGATTAGGCTAGTGATGATTTATGATGATGATCTAAAACATGTTAGAGCATTCCTATTAGGTGCCATTGTCCAAAAAATGTTTGAGATATACATTAACAGCTTCTAGAAGTGTTTTATATCCTAGCGTAAATGTGAGAATCTTCAGCAAACACTTTGAAAATCTGAAGTAATTATCACAATATAGTTGTTATCCACTGTTCAATTCTATGTTTCTTTCTGATACTTTGTTGCAGTTACATTATGCATTGAACTGTGCAGTGAAACTTTGTTAGAAAATTTTTAAGTTCAATTTTTTGTAGGCAGAGGCGGCTGCAGCTGCTGGTGAAAGCAGTTTCAAATCTTTCATGATTGCTGTGCAACGTTGTGCTAGTAGCATAGCTATACTTCAGCAGGTAACCATTTGCATGTTACATTGTTTCTTTTTTAGTTATAAATTCGGCGCCAACAACTTTTTTTTTTTATAGTATTTTTCAAATAGTATTGCCCGTCTCTTGCTTCCTGTGGATGGTGCTCATGCGTCTTCCTGTGAAGAGATGGGGACAGCTATATCCAATGTTGAAGTTGCTGTGCGCAAGGGGCTCCTACAGTGTATTGACACTGTAATGGCTGAGGTGTGTACCTTGGGAACTCTTCCCGAAAAAAATTACATATCTACATGATATAGGCACTCGTCTTGTTCTTATATAAGAATAATATTAATTTAAACAATGATGAGCATCAGTACCTGAGCATCATCCAGCTGTAGTTGCCTTTTCCTTACTGTTTGGGCTTTGTGTTGTTTACTATTCTTTGGCATTCAACATATTAAGCGCAGAAGAACTGCACATCGTCTGATACTGATGCTATTGAAAGCTCTGTTGTTGAGTTCTTTGAAAACCGTTTTACATTGACTCCAAACGAGCTGGTTGGAATTAATTGGGGTATTAGGCCATCCCCGACAGAACGTGAAACAAGGGTTTGCTGTCCCCCACCAGTTCCACCCGAACTCAGAATTTCAGCTGCATTTTCGTGGCGTGAACAATGCAACGCCAATATTGACCTCCCCAAAATTCTTCTTTTTGATAAGACTAGAGAGGGAGATGAAGGTAAACTTGAATTATGGAGGTCAACGTTTGAGTCTTAAGGCCTTCGTTTGAGTAGTTCTACAACTGAATATATGGAGTGTAATTTTAGTAATAATAGATCTAGTGGGGGATTATGACTTTGGGCGATCAAATCATTAATAAGACTAGACATTTTAGATATCTTGGGTCTATTGTTCAGAATGATAGTGAAATAGATGGGAATATTCTTAGTAGAATTTGAGTTGGATGGATGGAGTGGAGGAATGCGTCGGGCTTGTTGTGTGATAGAAAAGTACCACTCAAACTTAATGGAAATTCTATAAGATGGTGATTAGACCTGCAATGCTTTGTGGCGTAGAATGTTGGTCATTAAAAGAGAAGCATAATATTAAGTTCAGAGTTGCAGAGATGAGGATGCTCTGGTGGATGAGTGGCTTTACTCTTAGAGACATGATACGAAATGAGCAAATACGTGAAAATGTTGGAGTAGCTCCAATGGCAGATAATATTAGAGAGAGTCGTCTTAGATGGTTTGGTCACATAAAACGGTGGCCTTCAGATGACCTGGTTAAGAGAGTAGATGTATTAGATTTAACCTATGTTAAGAAAGGTAGAGGTAGACCTAAAAAGACTTGGTTAGAAAATATTAGAAATGATATTAGATCTAAATGAGAATTTGTCTCTTAATTGGATACAATGAAGAAAAAGGATTCATGTAGCCGACCCCACATAGTGGGATAAAGGCTTGATGTTGTTGTGGTGTTAAGAAATGGAATTCGGTTGGAAATAAGTTATTATTTGATGTGACTGTTATTATATTTTCAAGTAAAAAAATAAGTTTTTCAGTTAGAGATGCCCTTTTACTGAATCTGCAGAATGAGGTTAATAACAATGTTTTGACTGCTATTCCGGATAAAGATGAGATAAAGATATTGATAGTATGCTAATCCTTTTGGTGGCTCGAGTGATTTGGGATGAAAGAAATATCTGAACTTTTAATGACAGTTCTAGAGTTGAAAAAGCCCATTAGTTTGATATCATCAACAAGGTATTTTTCTGGATCAAGGAAAAATCTTGTACCTAAAGTAGTAATAACAAAGATTTTGAAGGATTTGATGTTGGGAATACGAAAGAGCTTGGAAAATTGTGATGTGGTTGCTGATGTTAGGATGTTGTACATCAACAGAATTTTGTTGTTTGATTTTCTGTTTTCAGCTTTTCTGTTAATATCTAGTTTCTTGAGTTTTTCACATCTGTACCAGGTTTATTTTTTCCCGAGTTATCTCTAACACTTTAGTTATTAATTTGTATTAATCTTTTTGTTCTTCTCTAATAGGAAAGGTATTACTACCTAGCTTTTACATTAAAGAAAAAACTTCCTTGCTTCTTTGCTGTATGTCTTATCCCAACTCCTACGCAGGTGGAGAGGCTACTTTCCACAGAGCAAAAGACAATTGATTATCGTTCACCTGATGATGGAAATCTTCCTGATCATCGACCGACAAATGCATGCATGAGGTATGTTTATCTTATATGTTATTTGAAATGCTAATATTAGCCCTTTCATTTTCCTCTTTTTGGCTTCAGAGTTGTTGGCTACCTATCTCGAGCTTTAGAGGTTGCATTCTCTGCTTTAGAAGGTCTCAACAAACAATCTTTTCTGACTGAGCTCGTAAGTCCACAGTTCTTTGAAATTGTATCATTATACTGTTGCAATAGATCTTGAGATTGAAAGAACAGACTGATAGGAAACACTGCAGAAATCCATTCCCCCTTGGTTGAAATTGAATTTCAGCACCCCAAAAACAATCTCCAAGACAAATTTAAGGGAAATAAGTGAGAAAACTCTTTGCAATTGATGAAATAGAGAAGAAAAATAATAAGATACAATGGATCCTTAATTGGAGAGGGGGATCCGGCTCTCCAAAATCTCTAGATGCCGCTAAAGCCCAAATTAGAGAAGAACAACTCAATTTAGAAAAATCCTCGATACCCTAACCCCCTAACCCTTGGAGAACATCCTACTTAAATCATATAATCATAAAGGAAATTTCTAATTAGCCCCTCCTTTAAATTTTTCCTTCCAACTCTCATTAATTCCTTCTTAACTGCTTCCTTTTGAACCCCACACGGACGGCAGAATCACTGGGGAGGCAGAACTCCTCCGCCTTTATTATAGGTGAGCCAATCCCATATGGCCTGACTGGACCGGTCTAACACATACTCAATGTCCAGTGCTGCATTATCCTGTATTTTTGTAACTGCCAGCCACTTAGTTGAGTGCTATTGCCTTTGACTTCCAAAGAGGAGGTTTAAGGTTCAAATCTTTGCCAAAAAAACATCCTGCATTTTGACAGCTTTATTGCTAGATGTAACTAACATATGTTGGAATTTTGCCACAGCTGGTGGAATAGAGCTTTTAGGATTTGCCGTCTATCCATCTAGCAATATAAAAATTATGGTGATAACATTGAAAGGGTGCAATGCTTTCTAAATATGGATTGATACTTCAATAATGAAACAAATAAATACATTTATGTCTCAAGTCATTATTAGGCATTGCAATCATTTCCGGCATTCAATTATTCTGTCTTAGGAGGGTCTGAGATGTCTCAGCATTGAGGTTAGGTGCTATTGATTCACTGATAGAGCATAATCTCAACGTCAAGGCCATGCAGTCATCATTAGTATACTATAGACATTGCATGCACGCAATTGCGGTTTCATAGAACTTTTTTTAGTTGTTACAAGCATATACTCTGCATGATCCAGCTTTGACTGGGATACGAGTGATTTCCTGCCATCATTTCTTTCATCCGTTCTGTACAACATTCGTTTGAGAATTATTGGAAATACATCTTTTCTTTGGTGGTAATAGTTCGTAAGCTAGTTTGGTTTTAAATTTTTGAACTGAAGACGGAATGCTTTACTTCAGGGGGATCGCTTGCATAGAGGGTTGTTATTTCATTGGCAGAAGTTCACTTTCAACCCAAGGTAATATTTCATGCCTGTTATGCTATCCATGTTTTGCTCTTAAAGATCTACATTCCTGTTCAGTTAACGTACTTTTGAACTTTTTAATTTTGCTAGGTCTTAGACTTCATTTGGGACGACTTTCTTACTGCTTCTTAAAATATTTTGTACTAAAAAACTGCTTTAAGTAGTAAGAAAGTCATCTCAAACGAAGCCTTAGTCCTTGATCATTGTTGGTGCAGCATTGCTTTAAATTGCATTTTTTTTTCTAAATTACTTGAAATTTTATACAAATTCTATGAAACATGCTATGGATGACATTTTAGGGCATCTATGACGCTAACTGAATTCTGCTAGATTTATGCTCTTCGTTGCTAAACATGAATTTCGGGGAGAAAGAACAGCTATTTTTTTATTCTGGTGTAGATGCGATTTTATAATGCAGTGCCTTTCAAAACAAAAGGAAATAGATGCGATTTTATAATACAGTGCCTTTCAAAACAAAAGGAAAAATAATTATTTTTCTGTACTTCTCTCCATTATGGGGACCATTAGCTAGGAGATTTAGTATTAATTTTGTGCCTGTTTTGTTGTGAAATGTTTAGCTATTCTATAATAAATTACCTGCAGTGGTGGTTTGCGGCTGAAGAGAGACATAACAGAATATGGGGACTTCGTCAGGCGTTTCAATGCACCAAGCGTTGATGAAAAATTTGAACTGTTGGGCATGTATGCATCACAACCGACCTTTGCTCTAATTTATTTTATTATTATGATTTTCATCATTGTTGCAGTTAGTGCTGCTGTTGACAACTTCTAACAAACTTCTTACTTTTGCTCCAGCATGGCTAATGTGTTTATTGTTGCACCTGAAAGTCTTGCTTCCCTATTTGAAGGAACTCCAGGCATACAAAAAGATGGATTAAGGTACGACCTCACCACCTAAATTTGCTTTCCAAATGAAACGAATAGCTTAAGAAATCATCTCTTAATTTGCAGATTTGTTCAACTTAGAGATGATTACAGAACTGCCAAGATTGCTTCCAGAATCAGTGGTATTGTAGCAGAGTCATAATCAAGATCGAATTTTGTTAAATTATGGCCAGGCTTTGTCTGTTCCATGTTCCATAGCTCCAATGGAGTTCCTTATTAGTCACATATATATATTAATTCTCCTTGAGGAGTTCTAAGATGATTATTGTTTATTCTACAATGTTAGTTTATCTTTTAATACCTTAGGAACTTGTAGAACTGAATTAGCTTACAATAGATGCGCTATAGTTCCAGTAATTATAATCCTAATTGGCCATGTACTGTAAGAACTCCACGGGCCAAAAAGAAACCTTATATTGTTCACTTGATTCTTTATTTTTTGCACTAAGTTGCATTCTGTATTGGATTAGTTTTTGTGCTCTCAATTACTGGATCTCAATATGTTGAAAGCTTGCTGTTGATGATGATGAGGTCCAATTTATTGTAGCTGTGACAATTTGCTTGGTAGACATTGAAGAACATATGTGGTGCATTATTTAACTGTTGATGTAATTTTTTAATTAAAAAAATTATGTCAGAATTTTCTGATGCTTATTATGTGAAAAAAAAAGTTTAACTTTTAGATTTGCTATGAAATTAGTGTTACATATGATATTTAAGGGCTGCATTAATGTCAATATAAATCTAAAAGTTGTTTAGCACCACTAAGATTATTGTTACGTTTTGACTCTGGCAATTTTTTTTCCTTTTCAATCTAATCGTTTGTTGTGGCAATTTGCTTAGCGGAGCAAGGGGCTGTTTGGTATCGGATTTTTCGTGAGATTTAAGCAGGATTTAATGTAAATCAGACGCGAGCGAAAGGGGAGAAAAATCTTTACCTTCGCGAAGAGGAATACCCAAGACTTTGGATAGCGGCACGTGGGGCTTCGCCGGCATTGGACAAGTTGATAAGGTGAAGAAGTATGTTCTCATGTTTTTCTTCACTCCATTCGTGTACCTCCGCCATGAGTAGAGGAAGCAGCAAGAGAGCTTCTGTCGTGTGAAGCACGCACATCACGAAGAAATGGTGATGAGGAAAAGAGTGGAAGTCAAACCATAGGTTATAAATTAGGGATTTTTACATACCTAACACTTAAAACAACTCTATTTACCTATTAAACACCTAAACTTTTCTATTTACCTATATACCACCTGAAAACAATTATCTCATCAAAAATAACACTCCGTCTCTTCGCCATCAACTCCAAATAGTAAACAATACGAGTAAAGGTCTTATACAACTAATGTAAAGAAAATCATATATAAGAACTCATTTACAGTCCATTCATTCAGAAAATAGACTTGTGCATTTCATCAAACAGAAAATACATATATTGGCATTTCATCAAACAGCAAATGTGCATCTCTAACTTTACAAACACAAAATAGTTGAAGAAGCTTGATACGTTTACCCTAAAGGACTAATGGAGAAGATCACCATCAACATTAAAAAAGTAAATGATTATAAATCTATTAAATAAATCTGGACTGAAGAAGATTTGTTTTCGTTACAGGCCATAGGCGGAAAAAGCATACTTGACACAGGGGAAGATGAGTGAAGTAGGGATAAGGTCGAAGGGGTGGCGGCCGGAAGTTTCGAAGGCCCTCTTGTCAGTCAGCACCGGCAATGAGGACGAGGGTGGCGGTGACAGCGTCGGGACCGGCGGTGACAGCGTTGGGACCGTAATGGAGAAGATCACCTGTTAGGACTGGCATGGAGAAGATCACCTGTTCGCACTGGAAGTGTCGCCGCGAAACAGCCGTGACTAAGGCTCGGAGAGTGGCGAATGGCCGGAGCGAAGGGAAGACAGAGCGAAGACGACGAGCCGAACGTAGCAAACTTCTTGAAGACGGAGTTGTATACGGAGTGGTATAAATGATTTAAAATGACTAATTTAGGTGGTATATTAGTAAATAAATTAGTTTAGGTGTTAAATTTGTATTTTAAATAGTTTTAGGTGTTATGTATGTAAAAATCCCTATAAATTAATAATTAGTAGTCAAACTATCATTACACTAGTTTAATTAATATTGGTAATTTATTAGTTGGATAATTATCATTAAATTAGTTTAATATAATTAGAAGTTAAGACTATAATTAGTTATTAGTTATATAATTTTCATTAAATTAGATAATTAGTAATATAATTAGAAGTTAGCTAAATTAAAATTAAATATTTAATTGTTAATTATCAAATTATTTATTATAGTACTAATTATCTAATTATCAAGCAGCCTTGCAAATTAAATTCAAAACATTGAATTAAGTTGCCAAATAGTTTTCAAAGATTTATCAAGATTTAAATACCAAACAGTTTTCCTGATCTAACAATAAAAAAGGGATTTACACAAGCTGATATGTGTAGCTAAATTCCAAGAGAAAGTCAACAAGAATAGATTCGGATTTGATATTAGAAATTTGGGACAAGAAGAGTTGGGCAATTGGTATATCTAATTTTCCTTCATTTCCGCATTTTATTTTATGATCTTTTACGGGCGAAATCATACTCGCTAGTTCATTTTGCGATTGAGTGTTCATGCAATTCTTAGCTCTCCAAGTTCTTTGTCCTTTCAAAATGGTGGAAGTAGGGGCTGAGGGTGACTTTCATTTATGACTTTGTGGCTGTGATTTTGGACTTTATAGGACTAGTTAAACTAGCATGTGTTAAAGTTTGCATCCAAAACTAAAAAAATAAGAATGTTAAAAAATAGGTGGAACTATTGGTTGATCATTAACTTGTGTGAGATCGAAGAGATGGAATTTGTTGTGGCTTAGGTGAGAGAGAGCGATGATATACTGAGTGTTTCTTATGGACTTGAGAGACAACATTAGGTTAGATTTAGGATTTAGTGTAGTATGAAAAAAGTGAGAACTTGAACTTTTGTTATTCGTTGTATTGATAATGAGGATGAGGGGTCGGCCATAGAATAAAGGAGGAGAAATTATATTTCTATCACAATGCAAGTAGCTTTTATTAATTCAGCTACCTCCAACTTCCAATTGGCTTCAAAACACTAAATTTTAACCGAATGTTGGAAACAAATTAAAACAATAAGTTTAAAGTAAAATTAGACAAGTGTTGTCATAAGCACTTATGATATAGTGCATAATGTCATTGTATCTTCCAAACCTTTCAAATATTGTTCCATTAGATCAATAGGTATCTCATAATTATTGTAGTTGCCAAGTTAGAGACTTCTAAACTTTGAAGGTATTGACTCCTCCAGCACTTCATGTTTGAAAAAAATTTTCATCTTTCTCTCCCCATTTGATCTTATATAGTCTTAGTGGAGATGTTAGAGGCATTACAAAATAAGTATTAGTTGAAACATTACACTCTTTGTTGGATGATCATTTTATTTTTTTAGTAATACTAAGGTTTATTAGGGATGGTTTTCTTACTGGTTTTTAAAGTAGTTTTTAGCAAAACTTTTTTTAAAATATTTTAGTTTAATTTTATTTTTGTATTAAAAAATTACTTTAAAAAGTAGTTAAAAGCTGTTCCAAATGAAGTCAAAGTAGAAATAATCAAATATTTTCTACCGAACAACAAACTTATAATCAATGTGCAAACAATTAGCAAATTTAAATGAATTATAATAAAAAAATTCATTTGTAAGAGCTACTTCAATATTAGCATAAAAATATCACACAAAAAGTTTATAATCTGATTCATATATTATTTGGAGCTTTCAAAGAACCATACTTAGCTCATCCTTTCAAATGTCTCGGCAGACATACATTCTTCATAATGAGATATCTTATATGAAATGAACTATTATTCTAATACAATTAGCCTTCAACTATTCTCAATAGTTTATATATATTCATATTTAAATTGGACCTTTTATATTTAAGTTGTAAATGTATTAAATTTAGATACGTCATTATAAAATTATCTTGGTCGGGCTTGAATCTCGAGGCAAAAATCAATTCGGAAATTTCAAAAATTAAATCCAGGATCACCTGAACTCCGATTTCAGCGAGCTTATAGTCGAACTGAGCGTCTCGAAAATACGAACCCAATGACACCAAATTCAACTCAATCCGAGCCCAAATGAGCCCAAATCAAGTACACATAGTGCTGTTGGAAAGCTCGTACCAAAATTTGAGTTACCAAACGGTCTTCGATTTTAACGAGGTTATAGTCGAATCGAACGGCTCGACGAGACAAATTCAACGAGCCCAAGATCGCCGAATTTCAAAGTCACTAAGACCTTCAAATGCCTGATAAACGGTCCACGATCGAAGGATTCAATATCGGATGTTCATCCTCCATATTTGCCCATGATCTCTCATCTATTTACGGGCCATGCCACTCCAGAAAATCTATAAATAGACCTCTCATTTCTCATGAGAGGAGGGGGAAGCAAGAGGAAGAAGGGAAGAAGGAGAAGAGAAGAGAGAAGATTAGGAGGGAAGAAACTCTTCCTCGACCACCGCCGGAGTTCCGCCTGAACTTCAAATGACGCCGAAATTCTGCCTGACTTCCACGGGACGCCAGAATTTTGCCCGACTTCCACGAGATACTAAAATTCTGCCCAATTAAGGACAGAGATCCCTCCTGACGCCGAAACTCCGCCCAAGTGATGTCGGAGTTCTCCTCGGCCACCAACAAACGTCAGACTCCTACCCGACGCCGGACATTCACTCTTCGCCAAGTTTCTACCCGTCGACGGACTTCTACCGGTTATCGGAATATCGCTGGACATCTATCCAAAGATGAATTTCTTTCCATTTTTGGACTTCTACTTGACGCCGTCCTTCTAATCTTCGTCGTCGGACAACAATCCTTCTGGCCTCCATCGCCAGCCGACTGCGATCCTCCTGACTTATGTCGCCCGCAGACTACGGTCTTTCCGACCTCCGTCACCCTCCGACTACGGTCCTTCTGACTTATGTCGCCCACAAACTACAGTCCTTTCGACCTCCGTCGCCAACTGACTACGGTCCTTCTAACTTATGTCGCCCACCGACTACAGTCCTTCCGACCTCCTTCGCTAACCGACTACGGTCCTCCTGACTTACGTCGCCCACTGACTACAACCCTTCCGACCCCTGTCACCAGCCGACTATGATCCTTCTGACTTACGTCTTTCGCAGACTACAGTCTTTCCGACCTCTGTCACCAGACTATGGTCCTCCCGACCAAACGAACACGTCAATAGTGACTCTTTGATATATATTTTTTCTTAAATTTATTTTCCTTTTGATTATCTCATTTTAGATGGTCTATGGATTCTGTATGCCTCAAACAAGAGAAATAGCCACTGTGGGCGAGATGTCAGAGCAAGACTCAACAACATTGGAGTGAGGCAATAACGACTCTTTCTTCGTTCGAATGGCCACTGTGTTAGTGCAAGTTTTTTATTTCTTATTAAGATTTGGAGTGTACAAGTAGATATTCAAATGGATTTGTTTTTTTTTTTTTTTTACTTTATATATTTAATGTGTCTGCGGAAATTTAAGCCAAGTGCAACCAAAGCGTATGTAAAACGCAAGTAAAGTACAGTAAAAGCGCAATAAAAAGTGCAACAAAAGAATAGTTAAAGCGCAACTAAAATGCAACGAAAGCGCATGTAAAGCACAGAAAAAAATGCAACCAAAGCATAGTCCACATATCATATTTTAAGTAGATGTCCGGACGTATCTCTACGTCCAGACTCTGCACCTAATAATTTCTCGTTGGGAGGTGGCAGTGAGCGGAAACAATGATGATGAATATATGATGTATTTGAAAGAGAAGACTTTCAAATAAACTAAAAAATAAATTTAATATGTACTAATATTTATAATATAATTTTTCTTTAAATTAAGCACTAATATTTTTAAAATCTTTATATTTTAAATACTCTACACTCCTCTTTCCCATATGCGGTTCGCGCTATTTGCACCGAAAAGGCGAAAACCAAACCAAGAAGGAAGGGACCTAACCCAGAGTCCGAAAAGACTCGCAAAACCCAAGTAAAACCCTAGCGTACGCAGGGAGAAGGGGAGCGTTGGCGCCGTATCTCTCTACGTCGTGTGCCGATGGTGCTCTACCTCCTCTTCGAATCGGCCTCCGGGTACTCTCTCTTCCTCGCTCATGGCCTCGACGAGATCGGCCTGAGCGTGGATGCCATCCGCGAATCGGTTCTCGACCTTAGTCGATTCGGCAAGGTCGTCAAGCTTGTAGCTTTCAATCCCTTCTCCTCCGCACTCGATGCTCTGAACCAGTGCAACGCCGTTTCCGAAGGTTTTGCTCTTTTAGCTCTAGCCTTAACCGTTGCTAATGTTTTCATGTTGGAGGTTACGTGATTCATGGTTTGATGATGCAGGTATAATGACGGATGAGTTGAGGAATTTCTTAGAGCTCAACCTTCCTAAGGGCAAGGAAGCGAAGAAGTCCAACTTCAGCCTTGGAGTCGCCGAGCCAAAGGTCGGGTCGCAGATCTTGGAGGTGACGAAGATCCCTTGCCAGAGCAACGATTTCGTCCTAGAGCTTCTTCGTGGTGTCCGGCTGCACTTTGATAGGTTAATCAAGGATTTAAAGGTTGGTTCTTATGGGGGCTCGGCGTTTGTGTTGATTTCTATTTGAAGTTTGTTTAATTTCTGCTTAAAGTTCCTCATTTGTGTTATTTTGTAGCCAAATGACCTGGAAAAAGCTCAACTTGGTTTGGGCCACAGTTATAGCAGGGCGAAGGTTAAGTTCAATGTCAACAGGGTGGATAACATGGTTATTCAGGCAATTTTTCTCCTTGATACCCTTGACAAAGATATCAACACTTTCTCAATGAGAGTGAGGTTTGTTAGACTTTGATGGTGCAGTGCTTTGAAATCTTATTGTTTTAGTCCTTTTGTGTTTTGTAAATGTCTAATTGTTTTGTTTAGGGAGTGGTATTCGTGGCATTTTCCTGAACTTGTTAAAATTGTCAATGACAACTATCTATATGCCAAAATTTCAAAGTTTGTGGAAGACAAATCAAATTTGTCTGAGGATCATATTCCACAGTTGGCTGATATTGTTGGTGATGAGGAGAAGGCGAAGGAAATTGTGGAAGCTGCTAAAGCATCCATGGGTGAAAACTTTAAAAACCCTCTTATTTTGTTTAGGACATCCGAGTTATTCTGCTCACTTTTATGTATTCACAGGGCAGGACCTGTCTCCAATTGATTTGATAAATGTCCAGCAGTTTGCACAGAGGGTTATGGATTTGTCTGAATATAGGAAGAAGTTATATGAGTATCTAGTTACAAAGATGAATGACATTGCACCGAATTTGACTTCTTTAATTGGTGAAGTTGTGGGAGCACGACTTATTTCTCATGCTGGAAGTCTCTCAAATCTAGCTAAGTGCCCATCTTCGACCCTTCAGATACTTGGGGCTGAGAAGGCGCTATTCAGGTTGCTATTTGAAATTTTCCATCTCTCTCTTATAGTTTTTTCAATTGAACAAAAGTTAAAAAATGTTTATTTAAGCTTCTTTATTAAAAAAAATAAATTGTCAAGGGTTGTCTTTCATGTTTCAGTTATGAAATTTGATCTGTTGGACTTGATTATTTAGATGTAGTCATGTTCCTTGATAAGTTTGTTCCTATTGTTGTAGTATATATGCATTTTGTGAAGGATATTGACCATAAAGAGTAAATGCTACCTCTAATGCTTTTTAGATTTCCTATCATTTTTGTATTACTTATCATCACTAATCTATTTCACTATTTTTTGGTCTTCTAGAGCGTTAAAAACTAAAGGAAATACTCCAAAGTATGGGTTAATCTTTCATTCTTCTTTTATTGGGCGCGCTTCTGCTCGTAACAAAGGACGATTAGCTCGTTACCTTGCAAACAAGTGTTCAATTGCATCTCGTATTGATTGTTTTTCAGGCAAGCAAATCCTCATTGAAATTATTTTTCTTTAAATGCTTATATATTTAAGTTGCATTTCCCATATTTGACACATTCCTAAATTTTTTTCAGATATGAATTCCACCATTTTTGGGGAAAAGCTACGGGAGCAGGTTGAAGAGAGATTGGACTTCTATGATAAGGGAGTTGCACCACGCAAGAATGTTGATGTCATGAAAGCTGCCATTGAGTCTGCATTACAAAAGATTGAGGAACAAGGTTCGTGTTTGTCAGTTAATAAAATTTCTTACAATTAAATTTATTTATTTTAGACGTCAAAGTGCAACTGCCTTTATTTGCAATTACTATTGTTTGTAACATCTTGTTAGTGTAATACTAATTTGATTTCCAATATGATAAAGAGGTGAGATTGAGCTAATTTAACATTGAATCTATATTTACTCAGTCAAATTATAGATTGCTCGATATTGGCTCATGGATCATATGCATTTGGTTTTGATCTAGCTATGATTGATTTCGTTTTATTATGAGTTTGCTCGAGTGAATTGAGTTTCATTTGACTATTTGAGCCAATTGGAAATACAAATTAGTAGTTATTTATAGAGAGTTAGTGACCCCGTCAATAAATATTACAATATGGATGTTCTACACGTTGGTACATGTCATATTTAAAAAATTCCATTAATGAACCTTCAATTTAAATATCAACTATTAGCATGTTAGCACAAACATTTTGGGGTATCTCACCAAACTCTAGTTGTAGAAACATGAAGGCAGAAGCGGAAAGCCAAAAGCCCCATTCTTCTATTTTATAGCTCGGATCAGTTTTGTTCGATTATGTGATGGATTGAGTGAATTTAGAGTTTCATTCGACTATTTGAGCCAATTGAAAAAGCAAAATAATAGTCATTCTTAGAGGGGCAATGACTCAATAAGGAAAGAGAAAAAACATATATAATGTAAACACTGGTATGCTTATAGTTATCTTCAATCTAAACATTGTAGGGAAACACCTAACTATCTATCAGTTTGTTTACTTTGTTGTAAATATCCACAATGGTCCCTAATTAAGGTGTGTTCATTTCTCTCAGACATTTTAGGTGTTCAATTTACTCCTTTAATTTGGTCCTACCATTGACTTTGACATTTCTTTGGATATAAATTGGAGGGGGGAATTTTCCATGAATGTATTTTGAACTTTGTAGGGTCAATCTCACTACTTTATGCTCGCTTAAATTAATGATATTTACTCTCAAAAGTTTAAAAATGCCTTTGTAGACAATCTCTCCACCAATTTATCTTTCTAATAAGTGAAGAAGTTGTCCATAGGGACCAAATTGGGTCGACATTGGTAAGTTGGACTAAATTGAATGCCATTAAAAGTTTGGGATTACAGTTGGGAACACCTAATAATTCTGGGGATTATTTTGATCATTTAATTTGCTAGTATGTTAGCACAAGCGTTTCAGGTAATCTCACCAAACTCCAATTACAGAAACAAAAAAGCCAGAAGCATAAAGCCAAATATCCTATTCTTCCCTCTTCTTTTGTTGTCTTCCAAGAAATCAACGTTCATTGAAGATGCGAGTGTGAAGGAGAGTAAATTAAATGGGAGAAGGTATGAAAGAAGCCGAGCAGTGAAAAGCTAAAGGACCTTCTCCTCCTAGGATGTGAGAATAATCTTACCAAGTTTTGATAAAAAACTAGCAAGCCAACGGGCCAATAATGAAGAAGGAATGGCCAATGAGGAAGTTGATTTGATTTAGTCTTAGCTGGTTAGTGATGAGAAATTGTGGAATAATGGGAGGGAGATCGTTGTGCTGCTTTTATAGGACTAGCGTTCAGTTATAAACTAAGTCATACATTTAAAGTAAAAAATGAACGAATGGTTACTATCAACCCATGATACAGAAGAACTGGAAAACACCATCAATGAACATTCAATCTCAATATTGTAAACCTAGCTATTAGTATGTAGCACAAACAAGAAACAAAAAACCAAAAAGCAGAAAACAAAAATCCCTATTATTTCCCTCTTCTTTTATCCTCTTCCAGAAATCAAGGTTTTCAGAAGATATGACCTGAAAGGAGACGAAGATAGATAGGAGAAGGTGTAAACGAAGAAGCTTAGAGCTGAGAACGTTAGAGAATGGTCTTGTGCATTTGTGATGCCATGCAACATATCAAAGAAGGAAGAATAATAGAGACGAGGGAATGATGAAGGAGAGGAAGGGAAGCTGGTTAGCGATGGGAAATTGGTGTTTTTGGGTTATAATCCAGGCCGTACATTTAAGTAAAATTACTCTCTCACTGCTGGATATTGATATATTCTTTTTAAATATTATATATATATATATATAGTGGCACTTTCTTTTTTGTTTTTTGTTTTCATGTAAATCACCTTTTAAGTTGTCCTTCAAAATAGGTGGTGAAAAGAAAGACACAGAGGAGCCTTTTGCAAAGAAAAGAAAGAAGAATAAATCCAAAGGTGAGGTCCAGGAAGTGGAGCCAATGGAAGAGGATAAGCCTTCTAATGTGGTAAATGTATATGCATCTGCTGATCTAGGAATTGATCAAAAGAAGAAGAAAAAGAAGCACAAGGATGTGGATTTGGTGGAAGTTACCGTTAAAGAGGCAGTGAATGGGACAATTAGCCATGATACTGACCAAAACAAAACTGCTAAGAAGAAAAAGAAAAATCGGGAAGAGGTAAATGCTGGTGATATGGAAATGGCCACTGAAGGTAAGAAGAAAAAGAAGAAAAAGGGAAGAGCTGAACCTGATGAATGACTCTTTTCTGGAGAAGCTTGAAATTCATTACCTTTGAGAACCTCTGAACACCACAGCTGTTTGTTTTTGTTCTTCTTTGAAATTAATTCCAGTTTATTGTTGTATTATTTCCGCAGAAATCTTAGCTAATTGTGCCTCTCAAGTACTACAAATTTTTTGCTTCAATTGAAATCTAAGATGAAATTTTGTTTTGCATTTACCACCTTTCTGTGTTTCAGCATAGCTATAATGGAGTTTTCTTTCATCCATGATTCCATCCAGGATGGTATGCTTTATCGTGTCATTTCAGGTTAACTTAGCATGTCCAGAGAAATAACATTCGTTGCATTTGGTGGCATTTGCTTGCTATGTTTTTATAGAGTGAATAGGAAGCTGCAGTTACAATTCTCAAATCGTGGTTGTGAATCATGATGAAACAACTTGGAGTCCTGAACAATTAAAGGTTTCTTTCAGATATTTGAATATTCTATCTGTATAGGTTATATCTTTCTATTTGTAGAGGATATGTCCTATTTTCATGGAAAATATTTCGGATGGTAATGAAACTATTTTAGTAAAATTTAACTGTCGCAATTTCCGAGCAATGATAACTGCTGCATTGTCATCATCTTATATTGTTATGTCGTTGCATGTTAAGTGTTTTTTATGGACTTTGGGTGCTACAACAATATCAAGCCTTTGTCCCACTAAGTAGGGTCGACTGCATGAATTCTCTTTCTTCATTGTGTCATGTTAAAAGTCAAATTCTCGTTTAATTCTAATAAGAAAGATCATTTCTAATATTTTTGAACCAAGTCTTTTTAGGTCTATATCTATCTTTCGTAACATAACTTAAATCTATTACATCTATTTTTCTCAACGAGTAGTCGGAAGGCCACCATTTTATGTGACCAAACCATCTAAGGCGACTCTCTCTAATCTTATCTTCCATTAGAGCTATTCCAACCTTTTCACGTATATGCTCATTTCAAATCCTATATCTAAGGATAAAGCCACTCATCCACATGAGCATCCTCATCTCTGCAACACTTAACTTAGTATTATGCTTCTTTTTAATGGCCAATATTTGACACCATAAATCTTTGCAGATCTCACCACCATCTTATAAATTTTTTCCTTAAGTTTGAGGAAGATTTTTTTGTCATACAACAAGCCCGATGAATTTCTCCATTTCAATCATCTAACTTGAATTTTACTGATCATATTTTCATTTATTTCACCATCATTCCGAACAATAGATCAAAGATACCTAAAACGTGTACTCTTATTAATAACTTGATCGTCCAAAGTCACAATATCTTCTTTAGGTCTATCATTACTAAAATTATACTTCATATATTCAGTTTTAGATCTACTCAAGCGAAAACCTTTAGACTCTAAAGTTGACCTCCATAATTCAAGTTTACCTTCAACTCCCTCTCTAGTCTTATCAACAAGAAGAATATCATCATAAAAAAAACATACACTAAGATGCATCCTCTTGCAAATATCTAGTGAGAACATTCATGAGTAAAGCAAAAAGATATGGGCTTAAGGTTGATCCTTGATGTAATCCAATTGAAATAGGAAAATACTTATCAAACCATATTGTGTTTGAACACAAGTAATAGCTCATGCATATATATCTTTAATGATTTGAATATAAATATTATTAACTCATTTCTTTTCAAGAATGCTCCATAACACTTCCTTGGAACTTTATCATATGTTATCTCTAAATTAATAAATATCATAAGTAGATCCTCATTATTCTTTTTATATTTTTACATCAAATCTCTCAATAAATGTATGGCTTCCATAGTAGACCTACCTGGCATGAATCCAAATTGATTTTGAGAAACATAAGTATCACGCAGCAACCTACGCTCCATAACTCATTCTCATAGTTTTAAAGATTGACAAATTAACTTAATTCATCTATAATTCACACAATCTTGTGCATCACCTTTATTCTTAAATATAGGAATTAACACTTATTCTTCACTCATCTGGCATCTTTTTAGTCTTCCAGACAATATTAAAAAGTTTAATAAGCAAAGAAATTCCTTCTTCTCATAAGCATTTTTACACCTCTATTTGAATATCATTAGATCCAATAGCTTTTTCACACTTCATTCTCTTTAAAGTCTCTCTAACTTCGATTTTACTACTACTCCGATAAAAACAAAATTTTTTATTTTCATTTAGTATGCTATGGTCACTAAAGTCAATCGTATTTTCACATTCTTTATTAAAAAGTTTATCAAAATATCTCATCCACCAAAAAATTTAATTGTCGTAATTTCTGAGCAATCACATTAAAAATTCGAGCTTCTTTTGGATTTCCTTATTGCATTATCATATAGTTGTCACATTTGGGTTCTTTATAGACTTTAGATACTAATGGAACTATTATGATAAAATTCAACTGTCGCAATTTCCAAGCAATCATTCGAAAATTTTGAGTTCGGTTTGGATTTCCTTCTTGATCAATAATAACTACTGCATTGTGATCATATTATATTATCACATAGTTGTCATGTTTTGGTTTTTCTACACGTTCGTCTAATTATAGTTCCAATTATTTATGATTTTTCTAGACTTGTTGGGCACCACTTAGTAGGCTGATAGCAGTAAAAGATATATAGGTTTCAATATAGGTTTCAGTGGTGAAATAAGCAAGGTCGAGTCAGCCTATTTTCTATATTTAACATGGGAGCCTCTTGGAGAGATTATTACGTGTGATATCTGGAGACAGAAAATCATTCGATTTTGTGACTGTAAATAGTAAACACACAGTAAAAATGCATTGTTAAACAATAAAAGCATAATGATGAACAATAATTGTGCTTTTAATGCTCAAAGTCACAAAATTGAACAATTATCTGTATCCGGACTCCGCGTGTAATAATCTCTCTGCACTGAGAATATGACTAGTTATTATTACAAGGTGTAAGCATGAGATTTGAAATTTTTACTAGTGGGTATTAATTGATAATTTCAAAAAAGTATTTCTTGTTTTTTCCTTTGAGCTTTAGATTGAAATTGATAGTTAAATATCATTTAATAAAAATTTTTAATATAAATGTAATTAAATAATCATTTATTCAAGAATCTCTCAAATATATAGAATTCCCTTGTAATTGTTGTTGCAGCAATTAGTAATATAAAAAAAACTTTATGATTAAAAATGCTAAAGAATAAATATTATTCTTCATGGTATCTTCTAATTTTTGTGCAAGTTTTTCAATTCTCTTTAAATTTCATGTCAATGATAAAATTTTCAAGTTGATTGTTTGTCGCAAATATTTTAGAAAGTTTCATCGACTTTTAGAACCTTCATATTCTTCATATTTATCATGAATATGAAATAATAAACCTTGGTACAAATTCAAGCATACCCAATTAATTATAATATATGCATTATTCTTGATTTATCAGCTAGGGCTTTATTGTCCTAATTCGTTATTTGGTTAAGGCTACGTAATTAGTACATCTTCAACCGAACGTGATTCGTCCGTTTGCAGCTCCGGCGAATGTCAACTTGAAAGGCAAATGAAAACATAATTTTGCATTTTATTTCAGCAGTGTACAATGCGAAGCTAATATTGACGTCGCACTATTCAGAAACCCAATTTTGATGCTCGTCTTTTGTCTCCTTTGTTCTGAACAAGTCGAGCGACTTCCTCCACTTGCTCAGTTCCGTCCGAACCATATTTCAGCATTATTGCATACTAAAAGTTTACAATAATAAAGTAAGAGAGTTTTGAGTCTAAGATCCAACATAAAATTTAATATTTCTCTTAAAAAACATGGACATGTTATTTAGTTGTTGGCCTGAAGATCAGCCAATATATTAAAGTTCGAAGAGGATTGCAGTTAATGTTAGCACATAATTGACTACTACAGAATAATAACAACGAACATAAGCTTGATCTAATCTATCTGTTGTTGTATCTAGCTGCAAGCTACATATTTTCATTGCAGCTGTTTGCTCTTCCCAAAAGCATCATTAAGCTTTCAAGTATGAGATATCAATATCAGAATTTCGGTTCAACATACTTCCCTGTGAAAAATGCATAATATAATATAGATCAATTACGGACCTCCTGTAATTAAGTTTGAAGCACAAAAGATAATTAAAACTAAAGTCAATGAGAAAATGATACCTCATACAAATCCAATAAGGCCAAAGTCTCTGCAATTGAGAGTTCAAAGCAACATCTGGTAACATAATAATTGTTGCGTCTTGGAGTGTTCGCGGCAGTTGAGATATATAAAGTTTAACGCCCCTAGTTTTGTACGAAGTCCAACAAACAAACAGTAAATAGTCGAGGGTGAGCATTCATAAGAGACACTAGAGTTTTTACATGGAAATTCTAGAAAATGGGAAAAACCATGGGGCCTTGCTCAGTTTAAATGAATCCACTAATGTTTACAGTCGATTAAAAATGAGGCTTTTTCTTGGGGGGGAAAGCCTTGGCTTTAATGTAGCCAATATACATTTATATAGAGTGTATTGCATGGTGGGAGTTGGAGGAATCAGTGCTAACATGTTCGTTTGGTCGGCAGGACCATAGTCGACGAGCGATGTAAGTTGGAGGACCATAGTCGGGCGACGGTGACCAGAAAGATCATAATCGGGCAACTGAGGTCAGAAAGATCATAGACGGACGACGGTGGTCAGAAGGACCGTAGTTGGCTAGCAATGAAGGTCAGAAAGACCATAATCAGGTGACATTGGTTGGAAGGACCGTAGTCGTGCGACAGAGGTAGAAAAGTCCATAGTCTGTGGGCAACGAATGCCAGAAAGATTATAGTCAGGTGATGGTGGTCTGAAGGATCATAGTCAGTGGGCGACGAAGGTCAGAAAGACCGTTATCGAACGATGGGGTTCGGAAGGACCGTAGTTGGATAACAGTGGTCAGATATAATCGTAGTTGGCGGGTAACGGAGGTCAGAAATATCGTAGTCGGCGAGCAATAGAGATCTGATTGGACCATAGTCGAGAGACGACAGTAGTCTGAAAGACCGTAGTTAGTGGGCTTCAGATGTTAGAAAGACCGAAGTTAAGCGACGATGGTCGGAAGGACCGTAGTTGAATGATGGTGGTCAGAATGGACCATAATTGGCAGATGACGGAGGTCGGATTGGACTGTAGCCAGGTGACAGTGGTCGGAAGGACCATAGTTGGCCGGCAACAAAAGTCAGAAAGATCGT